GCTAACTAAAATAATAAGCATTATACATAAATTAAAACATGACGTTATCAACTTGCAAGAAGTCTATTCTTTTCTTCTTTTCCGAAAAGTAGGATCTATCCACCTATATCAAGCGAAAGAAATCAAGAACGGTAGCCCTATCAAGCGTTTAAGCGTTGCATAATTAGCATAATATTGAACGGGAACGGTGACCAACTGAGTCTGAGCCCATGGATATTTGGCCGGGGTCCTTCGTCATACGACACTTGCACTTTTAGTAATTATTCATGTTAAACACGGATCCCACGGAGATTTAAGCTTTAAAGCTTTGGAGATTTAAGCTTTAGAGCTTACCACGGCTTTCCTAGATTAAATCCTCACACTTGTGTATAGTAGATGTTCATTTAAAATAGGATAAAATAATCATAAGTTACCGCCAGTTTTCTATTAAAGTGACAACTTGGCTACAATATGTTTGCATTAAACACCCCTGTAATAAAACACCGTGTCTTGTGTGATACAATAATACTAGTAGTTGGATTTAAAATGCTTAACATAGAATAGTTTTATCTTCAGATTTGTTTTCATTCCATTTCTGTTAAATGTTTATAGTTGTTTATTTACATTTATTTCAGTACCTATGTATTACAATGTAAATATGTTTGTTGCGCCTAAATATAAACACTAGTCACTCACTCAATCAATCGAGCAATCAATCAATCAATCAATCAACCAATCAATCAATCAGCAAGTTTATCAGTCAGTCAATGGACCGATCTATCAAAGATACTATATTAATTTGTAAATTAAAGTTCATCCGGTATTTCAAGAACAAGTAACACATGGCGAAACGATCTTGACACGAATGAACGTTAAAAGATATCGTTTAGTCACATCGTTGTTTCATCGTAAACTCATTTAGTCGTATAGTTTTGCCTAAATACGATGCGAGACAGTGAGAGCAATTTTTGGTTTCTGCTTTTCGTGCTTCGATCCAACAAGCCATTGTTAAAAGGGATAGCACGTCGTTATTAATGGTATTTTTAAGTGTTGTCCGCATTTTGATGAACAAATAAAAAGATAATTTGTATGGTAAAAACGTCGAAGTGACATTATTTAATTCTACGTGCAAATATTTCCAATTCATATTGGGCACAACTGTCAAAATTATAGCACTTTCATTCCCTTATAAGTCCTTCTTTGATATATGAAATAAAGATTTGATTTATAGTTGTTCCAGTTATCTAAAATTTTAATAAATGCATGAAATTTTGGAGGCCGAAACAACAAAGTTCCGTCGTTGCTATCAAGTTTAAGCTCAGATGCTTACGTTGTTGCGGGTGATAAAGCTACAAAATACTTCTTTCGATGTGTCGTAACCAATTTCAGAAAATATATGAATGATATTGAAAATGAAAATATATCTAAGTTCTTTATTATGGTACAAGGGTGAAATGGCCGATGACAATTTCTATAGGTAATTTTCTACATTAAGTAGGGCCTAGCTTAAAAAAATACAGGCTTCATTATTTCATCATGTAAATGTATGTATAAATGATTTATAGAAGTCAAGGACATTACATATCAAGTAAAAACTTCATTAAAAAATTTTAGTGCTAGATTAAGGCAATACAAACCTACCATATGTAGATCAATGGGTCGCTGGTACGATCCTCGGACGAGGCGGAATTTCTCAGTAAAAACTGATCTCGGACATGAGTCCAGCGCACATTTGTCTTACATAAATTATTTTGGATTAGAATTGGACACTTACGGAGAAATTGGTAATTACTGGTAAGGTATCAAGGAAAACCTGTTAGGTTTACCGGCTACCGTGTTATGACCGAATATGTATTGAAATCAGCAAAAAAATAGACAAATCAAACAACCAAAAAAATTATATATCATATCAAAAGGCTATCATATTTCATGACAAAACGTGCAATGAAGGATCTTGTATTGATCCCTATATCTATGAACCTGGTTCATTTTACATTTGCTAAGTATTAAAATCCCACCTCTATCACAAATAAAATTAATACCATATATATAGATAACAAGTGATTTTCTCGTTTTATTCACAAAACAAATTCCAAAGTATTATTGAAACAGAACGTTATCATCGTGTACAAGGTCTTTATTTTTTTCCGAATAGCTAAAACTAACCGCTTATACCTTTAGCTAATAAATAAATAAATAAATAAATAAATTAGAACGGTTCCTCAAGATTGATATAATTGTGCTAACTAAAATAATAAGCGTTATACATAAATTAAAACATAACGTTATCAACTTGCAAGAAGGCTATTCTTTTCTTTTCCGAAAAGTAGGATCTATCCACCTATATCAAGCCAAAGAAATCAAGAACGGTAGCCCTATCAAGCGTTTAGCGTTGCATAATTAGCATGATGTTGAACGGGAACGGTGACCTACTGAGAACGCCGTCTGCCTCTGAGCCCTGGGATATCTACCGGGGGCCCTTCGTCATACGACACTTGCACTTTTAGTAATCATTTATGTTAAACACGGATCCCGCGGAGATTTAAGCTTTAGAGCTTTCGTGGGCTTTCCTAGGTTTAATCCTCACACTTGCGTATAGTAGATGTTCATTTAAAATAGGATAAAATAATCATTAGTTACCATCAGTTTTCTATAAAAGTGACAACGTGGCCACAATATGTTTGTATTAAACACCCCTGTAATCTTATGAGATACAATAATATTTTGATTTAAAATGCTCAACATAGAATAGTTTTATCTTCTGGTTTGTTTTCATGTCATTTCTGTTAAATGTTAGCAGTTGTATATTTACAAATCTTTCTGTAACTATGTGTTACAATGTAAATATGTGTGTTGCGCTTAAATATAAACACTAGTCACTCACTCAATCAATCGACCGATCAATCGATCAATCAATCAAAAAATCAATCAGCAAGTCAGTCAATGGACCGATCTATCAATGATATTATATTAATTTGTGAAGCTCATCCGGTAGCATTTCGACCAAGCGAAACAATACGATAAAAATATCGTGTAGTCACATCGTTGTTTCATCGCGTACTCATTTTGACGTATAGTTTTGCCTAAATAACATGATGATGCGAAAATGGGATGATACGAATCGAGACTGTGCATGAGATCTACTTTTCGTGCTTTCGTCCAACTAGCCATTGTTAAAAAGGATAGCACGTTAATAAATTATGGTATTTTTAAGTGTTATCCGCATTTTGATGAACAAATAAAAAGATAATTTGTATGATTAAAACGTCGAAGTGACATTATTTAATTCAAACGCGCAAATTAATGGTTTACGGAAACGTTAAAGGGCCTCCATTTAGTGCGACTGTCATGTATAAGTATGCTGATTTTAATTCCATTTAATCAGAAGTTTAGACTAAACAAATCAATTTAATTTATTTATAACAAAACTGTTTATTTATTTATTAAGTTTTTGTCCAGGCGAAAAATGTATCTTTTCGTTTTTTGTAAAACATTTGTCTTTTTGATAAAAAATCATCTAGACAAGAAAATTTCAAGCATTTTCAAGAAACCGACTTAGAATAACAACAAGAGCGATCAGTAATCACATGTGTCGCCTCATAATGGCCAATTTCATGTTGGGACAAATTTTGTGACAGACGGACAGACAGACGGACAGTGCACAACTAGACTTGGTACTGATCAATCATGTAAAGTTAAGATAAAATTGCACCAGTAGCTTATGAGGAGTAGTCCGGACAAGCTTTTGTGTATTAGGCAACACACAGAAAAAAACACATTTTAATCAAAGGGCCATAACTCAGCCAAAAATCATTCAACCGGAAAACCCGTGCAATACACGCAAGGACTTGAGCTACAGATCAATCCTGTAAAGGTTTCATTGAAATTGCATAAGTGGTATAAGAGAAGTAGTCCGGCCAAACTTTAAAATTAAAAATTATTAAAGGGCCATAACTCTGACAAAAATCATTGAACCGGAAAATGCTGACAATATGCACAACAAGACTTGATACTAATCATTCCTGTAAAGTTTGGATGAAATTGCACCAGTAGTTAATGAGGAGTAGTCCGGACAATTTTTGTGACGGACGGACGGACAGACAGACAGACAGACGGACAGACAGACGACGGAGAAATGATCCCTATATGTCGCCACTACTCCGTAGAGGCGACACAAAAATGGTATTGTCTTTGTGAATAAGATAAATTGTTTTATGTTATGATGTCTAATCAAATCAAATAAAAATCAGTCGTCTTTCACCTCATGATCGCACTAAATGAAGGCTATTTCCCGTTTCCGTAATGGTTGATATTTCTATCCTTGATATTACAAAAAAAGCAATTGCCGCGAAGGACCTTATTAACAAGACCAAAGTATAGACACGCGTAAATCTACATGTAAGTGAGTGTTAAATCAGTAAATTAGATTGAAGATTATTACCAAAATGGTCGAAATAAACCACAAGGACTAGAGTCCGATCACGCTAGTCCTTTTTTTAACTAAAATAAGAGACTTAATTAGGTGGACCCAATAATTCAATACATTATGTTCTAGGTTGCAAATGAAGCAATATGCAAGTTTATAAACACATAATGAAAAATACAAAATAAAATACAATATACAGCAAATTGCATAAATTGTTATATTGACATGCTTAAGAACGACGTAGAATTCTTATGAAACGAACTCTTTTAAACACAGAGTCTTACTCTTCCTATACCATTAACTGTTGTGTTAAATTGATGGAGTAAATGGATAATTTAATTGATTGAACATTACTTGTGTATTTTCCTACTGAAAAGTCATATTGACTTACAGCAATCGGAACTCCTCGGCTATTATTCATTCTTATCCGAAGTTTAACGGAAAGAGCCCAGAAGATGCAATTGTATTTACAGGTTACTTTTATCATTGGCGGAGTGATTTCAATATGAGGACATAAAAAGTTCTTATAAGACTGTACACGGACACATTTTGAAATAGGAAGACTCGTCTTACTATAAAAGGCTTGGAAGCATACCTCTCAACTGGTCCAGGGTCTGAGTGCGTCTCCGTCCAAATCTTAGCCCTTGCCCTGGCTGCCTCCAACCTTGACTGATGACTTCCCGGCGGGCCGCGCCTCACTGACACAGTCGGAGATGTGTCGCCACTCGAGGTTGCTGAAGATTCCATCGCAGTGGTATTTCTGTTTCCAAATTTATACTGAATACCATGTGGTCTTCGTAACGATCCTGCTCCGAATTCTCCAATGCTTTGCTTTTTATCAATCGAATCATCCGAGCTGCTGTCGAAACGAACCCGTCTTCCCGACATACTTCTTTTTGGAGATTTACTTTTGGGATTTCTATTTTCATCAGGGTATTGTGATACCATGTCAACAGGCTGTTTCCGTTTTTGATCCCTTGGTCTTTGAACATTACCCAAACTTTTGCTTCTGTCCATTTTAGCTTTTTTATTAACATGATTGTTATTGTCGTCTGATGACGGTTCATAAGACCTTGACCTTAACTTCTTGCCATCATGATGAACAGACTGCAAGTTCTGCGATATTTCCAGCAAAGACTTGTTGCCCGTTTTACGATGTCCATAATGTCTGTGACTGGATTTTTCGTTATTTTCTGGCTCAACACCGGAAGTTACCAGTCTTCCGGTGCCAATTTCAGGCAAAATTGACATGTTAGTAAACCAATGACACTGCTCACTGATAAATAGAATCTGTATCACTTATTCCATAAAAATGATCCAAAATACGAAAAGCGCAGACGAAATACGTTTTACAATCTAAATCATAGCACCGTTCGAATCTTTTTTAGCAATATCCAGATGATCAATTAATTTTATTTGCCCAAGCAGTGGGGAAAAAATCTTTTATCAAAAGTAATTGAAATTCACCCGGCGTATTTTGTTTATTATTCAAAAGTCCATTATGAGTTCTTCGTTTTCGCCTTTTATACGAATCCAATAAAAAGAATGATGATGAAAACCTTTTATTGCCGTTTATTACATTATAAAAGTACACACACGTCAATAGTCTTTCATTTGGTTATTAATCGACCGCCTCGCATGCATCTCTTAACAGATTTAATTAAAAAGTTAGCCTTCTGTATAACTTTCTTTTCAAATAAGCAGACAAAACAATCTAAAATTATCATAGAAAATACTCCGACAAAAACTGTGTTGTAACTATTATAACTCTAAAATCGTCGGAAAAGTACAGTATTGTACCACAAACAGTTTTCTGTCCATTTTGTTCCTCAATTGAAATTTAAAATCCACTGTCCATATATGATATTATGAAATAGCTTGCTATCAAGTAAACGTTTACTTATTTCGTTAATCCATAAAAGTTGTAAAACATTTTTACCTGTTGTCAAAATACGATATTTAAGTCTAAACTGTTATATTTATCAACGTTAAACTTGTGTTATATCATAGAATTTTACTATCAATATCACATTTTGCGTTAATCCTTGGCGTAGCCCTTTAAAATATAATACAAAAAAGATATAAGTAGCTTTTTGGATTAAAACACAAAAAATATTAATATGTAACACACTTTTTTCAGGATTTTCAAGTTTTTAAAACGCGTAACATACAGTAATTTCTTTCTAAAAGTTTAAGTAATAGGTCACCATATCATTTGGTCGTAAATTCGGCCACAGACCTTTTATCAAAATATTTACACATATTGTATCAACTACATATTATTACATTTTGGATTTATTATGTCTTTTATAATGACGTCACAGAACATCCCCCCTAAAAACAAACAAAACAAAAAAACAAATTTCCCGCTAATTTTGATTTGTCCTCCTTCAATTGTTGGAATAATTCTATGGATATCAGAGTGAAAATTATGTCAGTAAGTGAACAGGTCACAGTGCACGGTTAATCACACGTCGGTTAAGGTTTAGGCCTTATTACTCAAAAATATTTTATTTCTGATTTAAAGTTATGGGTTTTACATGTAAATTATGAATTACTTGTATTTGGCTTCCATGTCCTTTACTAGAATCTATCACACTCGATGGTACCCTGCCTAACCTGGCAAAGCAAGATCAACTCGAGTAAAAAAAGGGGGCCAGATAAATATACCGGTACCTAAAAGTATACGTAGTAAAACCTGTGTGGCAGAACACCTCCGATTAAAGACCAACCTTTAAATAAAGACCGCCATTTGACAAACCTTCATTGGCAAACTAAAACTGAGTACACACCAGAGACTTACATCAGCTATGTGCATGGTATACGCGAATAAAGAGCACAAAGTCTTGTATATGAAGGCTATGTATGGTCACTCCTTTGTGTGGCCTTTAATTGCAGGGTTGACTGTGTATCGGGGAATTCTTACAATTAAAATATTCTACATAAAGTAAATTCGAGTAAATTCTGCCGTTTCTCCCACCTGGGTCCCTATTTTCAGTATATTCAGTATTTTGTCAATATTCATTTTACTTCCTAGCTGTTTTTTGTGGTATTTCATTTTCAAACAAGTCGCAAAGTCAATATGTTTGTTGCGTTTTTATGTGAAAATTGATATTACCCCACTTTGTGGAACTTGATCTAAAAAAAAATCTTATGAACAATTCATGGCGTATTACGACATTTACCTGAGGGGCTAAAGTCGTGCGACATTTAAAACGTCAAAAAATACTTTACGACATTTAATGGCAATTGCGATATTTTGCTGCGTTACGACAAAGAACGGGATGGATATATGCTTTAACAATTCAATACAAGTATTAAATTTTAGGTAAAATAAAAAGACAAAAACTACACCGCCTGTATTTATTATAACATAAGTATATATGCACTGTCACAGCGTGGTATTTCAAATTATTGAATAGGTTTAAGGTTATTATCAATAGATTATCAAAGTGCAATAACAAAAATTTCTTTATTGAAAATTTCTAAAAAAAACTTGCTTAGTTACTGATTGTATCTTAACATTGATATATTCTAATTCAATCCGTCTAATTCCGTTTTAAAACATGGTCATGACTTTGCAATTCAGGTGATTCACCTTGTACATGTTAATGAAAAAGGATCGAACGTAATTAGTAACCCTTAAAATTCTTTATCAAAATATATATACTGTAATAAAGAAAAACACCTTTTGAATCTCGTTTTGGTATTGGTATTCTTTATATGTATTTATAAAAAGAAAAAAACTTCTAAAATTTAAAGGCACGCGATTGCCTATAGTGGTTAAGGTGTCTATCTTTTAACCTATGAATCACGGTTTCGAGCCCTAATCGGGTCACGACCATGTTTCCTTATATGACACGAGTACTGGCCTGGTTAGTTTCATGAAACGCCCCTACCCCCACAAGTGAGTATTAATGTTTCAATAATTTGTTTTACGTTTAAGCTTAAATAAATATGTTTTAACTGATCTAAAATTTTAAAGAAGACTGTGTCGGCTCGCTTATTGATCACGTGATGATGATACTTGAGTTATACATGTATACGTGAACATGTCCGTCATTTTCTGTTCACATTTTACGCCTACTCAACACACTCTTTCAAGGAACTCCGCTGAGGTATAATTGCCTAATAAAAATTGAAATTAATGTTGTTTTCATAAATCAATCGGTGCACTTAAAATGGAAAACTATGCAATAAATACTATGTAAATATACTCGATACAAAATTAATAATTAGTTTTATGTATTTTTTCTCAGGTCGATTTGAGTGAAAAGCGGTGCGCAACGCTTTTTCATATTCTTTTTTTTTTTTTTGGTCAATTTGCGTTATGAAATTTATTATGCCTGGGAAGTGGTTTAAGCAAATGGTCTGAAATTTTGCATACGAGTAATTGATTCAGACCTACATACAGTAATATAAAAAGTCATGAAAAAATATTTTTGTCAAAACACCTCAGTGGAGTCCCTTTAAGCACCATCGGAGCTTCGCTACAAAAAAACAAAAAACAGGTGCACCCTCTCCGGTTTCCGGTTCCTCTGTTGCGCGCAAAATCTAAGAACATTCAAAGTATAACATTCTCTTACCTAATGATATAGGTAATTTTAATCTAATATTTCCTTAAATTAAAAACCGTGTATCATAACGTGTGTTTGTTGTGTATATTTCTCAAGTCATGAAAATAAAGAGAGAGTAAAATGCAAAACACAGCGTGCGTCTGAATAAAAGTGTTAAATTAAATTTATCAAAGTCATTTTACCTTTTATGTTTGATTAAAATTACACTTGTAATGACAACCGACAGTACCTGGTAAAGTATCAGTGTCAAAGATTCAATACAGTGACAATTATTCATTATTTACCAAATAATAGTGGGGGTACAATTTTACAACTTTATTATGTTTGCTCGGAGCTGCACTACAGGTGTGCACCTTTCTATATCTACGTTAAAGTAATGTGGTCCAATATGTTTTAAGCGTTTTTAACATTTAATTTTGAAGAAAAAAAAACTGTCTTATATTATATAGGAATCCAGCTTTTTTTCTTATTTAAATCAATCTCTTCATCAGTCCGTATGTATGTCTGTACATACCTAAAATGCAATAAAAGGCTTAGGGTTTTGAACTTGCCAATATGAGGTTCCAAATAATAACCAATTGCCATTGTGTTGTTAGTACAATATGTACAACGCGAATGCATATTAAAATACTTAACACGAAGATAAAATTTAAGAGGATTAAAAAAGAAGCAATACGTATAACCGCATAACCTGATAGAATCGACCGGTGCTTATAGTTAATGGCATACTTAAACCTTTCAATTCTAGGGTTCGAACCATATCTTGGATTTTCTTGAAACTTTAGTTTTGTGAAAGAAACATCCTTGAATGCAATTGTCTTACTTATTTAAATGAAGGACAGGATTGAGCCTGGGCCGCATCAAAAAGACGTCCGCGATGAGGTTACAACAGCGGACCAGCAAAATCGCCGTTGGTCTCCGCCGTATGGTTCATTCCGGTGCCGAGTATAAACTCGGACACTAACATACTTATTTCGAATGCCATACACTTGTATCAAACTAATAAAATTGCATGTGAACTTGGTCTGAACGAGTGCTGAAATTTGATCCGGTTTAAAATTAGTCAAATAATACCTTTACAGGTACTTAAGTGTTAACATTTCAAAAGTGAAATCAAAATAACTTTAGCATTACTAAAACGGGGTATAAATCTATGTTAAAAATACAAAATTGATCGCTACTAAATTGGTAGTCATTGACTATGAATGGTGAAATTTTGCTATTTAAGTCTAGTGCGCTGTTACAACAGATATTTTTGTAAGTGATATGTAAATATAAGACCAATTAAATTATTTTTGTAGTGTCCGGTATGCCAGTTTATTTAATTACAAGAATCAACAAACAAATCTTGAGTTAAAAATCTCCGTTACGATCGGAGTAATAAAAGCATTTTCTGCCATATTATTATAATGACTATAGTATACTGCCATATTATAAATACATTGCCACTTTATAAGTGCATTGCCATTTTATAAGTGCATTGCCATGTAATAAGTAAATTCTATTGGTAGTAAATAAGTGTTTTGGATTACATTTAAGCAACATTCCTCCAGATTTATGCTAATTTTCATGGAAATTTTGAAAATGTATTTCAAAGTAAAATATTGTGAAGTGAACAAAGAAAGTTATTGGCACTTACAATCAAAATATGCAAAAAATAGCAGTAGAAATGTGGCGATTTATATTGCAAAATCAGTCATTAATAGCACATAGCATTTAAATTGAATCGTTTTACTTTTCTTAAAATCTTAGTAAATATTTCTCAAGTTTGATTTTCTTAAAATATTTAAGCTCATACGGAGGCTTGCAGATTTAATTTCAATTATATTTTTTCTCCAATTGTTTTGCTTAATCTGATTAATTTCAGCCCATTAACAATGTGAATAGTAAAGTCCACAGATATGGGTATGTACCAAGTATCGTAAGGGAAATAACCCCTGTATCATTATTTACTCAATCTCTTCCAAGTGAGTTCCCTTTATAATTCTCCACATTGCAAGTGTTAGTCGCAGTGGTTCCCTTTTTTGCAGAATTTCTCTTTGACAGTCAAACGTGAAATTTAAGTTGAAGAAAACATAATAATTTCGCAAACATTCCGTTACATTTGTATCATTTATAAATATAATATACAACAGTATCATTAAATGTCATGACAAATTCAATAAAAGGTTAATGCACCTTGAACATTGGACCAGAGCTCTAATATATTCGAAGGCTTATGCCGAAAAAAATGCACGAACAATTATGCATTGGAGTCATTCTTGTATTGAAAAACACCGCGTCTGATTCGGATATTCCGCGTTCCGTTATTTGTTTTCCGCATAAAGCTGCCATGCTTTTCACGTGTTTGAGTAGGGAAATTACCGGGTTTCACGTGCGAATGCAATACGTTTGGATATTATCAGATTTTGTCAGTTTTACAAGGCGCCCCGAGTCACGTATGTCAAACGTGCATCAACGGCGCGTGGTTGCGTGTTTTAATCCATTAATGCATGTCTATTTCTGCATTAATGGACACCTGCTATGATTTAGCACTGTATTTTTGTTTCTTTTCTGCTTATCTAGATATATAACAAATTGTCAACAGTTAAAAAAAATCTCGAAATATTTTTGGTGCCTTACACGGAGATATAGGTTTGATAAGTTTTATTTTTAAATTCCACCAGACCACGTGACTGTAATGATGTACATGTAAAATGCATGACACAACAGTGTATAAAAGCAATAATACATAAATATGTACGCGTTACTGGTGGTTCTATAAAATTTTACAAGTTATTCAATTATTTATTATATAATTATACACATGCATGTAATTTTTTTTTATTTTTAACGATCATATATAGATTTCAGCATCGTGCAATTATTCAGTTTTCTTCAATGTGCTATGTATCATATTATCATGGTTTCATTATCAATTCAATCAATTTGTCCCTAATTCTTGGATTTTCCTAAACCTCAAAAACCATTTTCTTTTACAAATTTTCTTTACAATGGATAAAAGGGTTTTAAATTTTAACTTGAGTTATGTTTTTTTAGGCCATTTTTTTTCCAAGTATTTTTAGAAAAACAATACGGGGTATAAATTTTTTGTTTTTTTAAGTCAAAAGTGTTTTAATTATACCCACATTACATTAAAAAATTTTAGATAATAAATATAAAAATACATGTATTTTTGGACAGAAAGCATGTTTTTTAATGAAACGTTAATATTTTAAAGCAGGGCATTCAAATTTTTTGAAAACCCGGGGTTTTAGGCAAATCATTTAAAAAATATAAAAAATGGGAAAATTTAGTCAAAAAATTTAATCTTTTAAAATACTTAAACCCACTGAGAAAGGGCCAAAGTTTTTTGGAATTTTTAAAAAATTAGCGTTTCTTCTTGAAGATCGTGCCCAATAACGCTACACAAAGTTAATATGAAGGTTCAGTATTTCTGTAAAAGGAGGCCGATTGTAACTTATAAATGCGTATCCTGACACAATCGTAGGTTTCCGGCAGGTTGCATCGGTAACGACAAACAAAGTAGACTGCACACTTAGTTAAATATAGTTTAAACTCTATATATACATGTATATATAGTCTAGTAATCTGGCAATCACAAGCCCAAAAACTAAGAGCGTAAATATTAAGCTTCACTACAGAGCTCGAGAGATTGGTAGTCCGTTATGTTAAATAAAGTTGTACTTCGCTTCAGCTTTTTTTCTCATCTGGTATAAAATAATTTTAAGTACATTTGTAAATTTTTCTGAACATTTTCTATGTTAAAAAGGCACATAACTTTCAAAATGAAAACAAATATTGTGATTCTTGAAACTGGCCCATATGTTTTTCTTTTTTTTTTTTTTTTTTTTTTTAATGTCTGAATTTACTTGTTGTCCATATTATAGTCCAAGACGTGCATGAGCAAGTCTTATTCAGTTTTTTTATTCAAGTTTTTCCATTCCTTTTTTTCCGTTTTGCTGTTCTTTTTTTTTTTTTTTTTTTGTATTTTTTGTTTTTTTTTTCTTTTTTTTTTTTTTGCGTATTTTGTTTGTATTTTGCATTAAGATAAATATTACTGTAATCTTCTTCTTCGTGCCTTTGTTACTTTAGAATTGCTCCCTCAGTAAATATTTTACTTCTTTTTTTGGAATTTTGAATATTTTAATTATGTATCAATAATGTTAAATCAGCCGGTTTCGTCTTGCCAGTTCTTTATAGATTCTCTAACCTATCCAATATCTATAGAAAAAACTCGGGACCAACAATTATTTCTAATAAAAACAGGCATACAGGTAACACTTTTTTTTTAAATGCCCAATCACGTGCGCTATGAAAACTTGGACCTGCTAATGGCGTCATTGCCCTCTGGCATGTATTCAAGTTAATACAATGTCCCTCTACTGGTTTCAGAGATATTTAAGTAAATGTAAAGTTCAGGACATTTTCTCTTTAAAAATAGACATACATGTACTTTTGTCACACTACAATTAAAAAAAATTTATTTAAAATTACGGCATTCCCTATTCTTGGGTACCCTTTTTTTAAAATTATACTTCAAAATTTTTAAATTTTTTGGGTTTTCCCGTTTTAAAAAAAATTTCTAAAAAAAACTAGACTTTTGTTCATAGGACTCGGGTTTAAACCACCCTTCCCAAAGTTCTCTTTTTCAAGGGCTTTTGGCGGGGAAACAGGTGACTTAAAAGCCTGGGGGAAATTTTTTAATTTTTCCCCGCATTCCCAAAAATTTTGGGGTTGAGTATATAAACCAAAACAATTTAAAAATAATTTTTTTAAACAATTTTTAAACTTTGAAATTAAACCCCATGTTTAGTTTTTTAAAGGGGCAAAAGTTTAATTTTTAAAAATTTCTTTTTTGGCCCTTCCCTTTCGATACCGGGGTTTCCCTTAAAAAAAAAACAGGGTCTAATTTAAAGGGACAATTTCCCCCGAAGAAGGTTTGGGGCGTAGGCAGGGTAACCCAAAATTTTGTTGTAAAATCTTTTGTAATTTTCCCGAACAGTTTAAAAAACCTTTTTAAGATAGAAAATCTTTAAAACACATATCGAAAAAGTTTTTAAAAAGAAAAATTTAAAATTTTAATTAAAGATTTAAAATCTAAAAAAAGGGGTCACCTTTTAAAAAAAAAATTTGCCACTGCTCTTTTGACATTTTAGCAAAAACCTTTAAATTTAAAAAGGGCAAAACCTAGTGGTAGAAGGGTTTTCGGGAAAAGGGATTTTCCAAAAGGGGCCCCTTTGGGGCGAGGTTCCCCGGGTTTTTGGCTGCACATTTTTCTCACCCTGTGACACAATGTTTCACAACTGGCCTAAACCGCTATTTTTTGCAATGAAGCCAAAATTTGCTATGTGTATTTTTCTCACTGGACAGTCACACCACAAGTCTAAAAGATGTATTCAATATAAATGAAAGCTATTTGAGATGAAATAGTTTTGTCAGAATCTTCCATAAAGTAAAAAATGTAATTTAAAGAAATTGTTAATAAGAAAGGGCAAAGCAACACTTGAAAGGCAAAAAAAATGTTTCCAAAAGAAAAGCAAACTCTGAGCATTTATAAGCTCATTTTTGCTAGACTTTTAGCAAACGTAAGCTAGAAACAAATAAATGCATCATTTTTTTTATCATTACCTTCAGAATATAATTTCCAAGAGTTTGGAGCCTCTTCATTTAAATGCACACCTTCTGCTAGTTTAATTTCCAAATTGATAGTTACATTTTTACCCTGATCAGCCATAGATAATGGAGACTTTTCTTTGTCAGTGTCAACAAGGTCAGTAGGTGCAGACGTAAATATAAACGGAAGCTGTAAGAAAACAAGAGGCTTTTGATGGTCATTAATCGCTTATCTGAAAACAATAGCGAGACAAAAGAATGCAAAAGTAGGTCACTGAAATTGGTGAGAGAAAACTTATAATGCCCTACCAGACAGAGATAGAACCACTGACCTTTTGTAAACCTAACTGTATAAATTTCTCACCGAAAAATTATTCAAATTACCCCTTTGCCATGTTGGGACTTAAACCAACAGCATCAACGGTCAAGTGATTTGATCTTAGCAGCATAATCCATTCAGTCAAGGAAGCCCCTGACTGAATCATATTTAAGGTCGGTCAAAAAAGTACTTTCAAAACACTTCATGTGATCTCTATTTGGACAATTATTATAGAAAACCACGTCAATATAAAAAACGTGTAAAAGTAAGGTGTGTTTAAAGTTTAAATAATTTCTCAAAAGTTGAGTTTCGTTGCATTCGAAGCCTTGATTATATCACGGATTTATATAACAGACAAGTAATATAAATCTGTGATTATATGGCTGTGTGGACAATCGGGTTTACAGCTGAAACCATAAATTTAGCTACCTTTTATACCAAAATATACAGTTTGAACAAACTTGGCAAAGGACTACTAGAAAATACTGAATAAGAAGGTTCCAGGCTTACAGTATTTCAGGGTTTTCTTTACACAATAAAAGGCAAACTGTTGACCCCTAGAATAAGGTCATTATTGCTTTTAAAGGATCAGAAACCACATTTTGTACTCACACTTCTGACAGTGTGTTCCTCTAAGTTTAGGACTTTTATATCATGGTTATTTGTGTCAGCAATATAAACTTTCTTCCCTCTCCAATCACTGCATAGCCCACCAGGCTCATTTAATTCTGCCTCCAGCAAGTTACTTCCCTTAGAGGAACCAGGCTTTCCAGTACCCATCAATGTCTGACATGACCTTTTTGTTATATCTATACTTTTTATCTGAAAAACCACATCAGCTATGTTAAATATGGCATAAAAAACAGCAACAAAAATACTGAATAAAATATTTCATTTTTATTAGATTTTCATATTCTCTTTTCATATTCTTTACCATTCACTTTTAATATGTTTAAGAACTAATTATAGTTTATACCAATTTGGTTTAGTTCGACTGTGTTGGATTTTTTTGTTTTGTTTTGGGTTTTACGTCACATCGACACAGTATAGGTCATATCGTGACGTTCCAGCTTTACTGGTGGAGGAAGACCTCAGGTGCCTTTCCGTGCATTATTTCAGGCACGAACGGGCACTTGAGTAGAACCACCGACTGTGTTGGAAGCTATAGGTTTATTGAAACATTTTTGAATGAGTGTAAGCTATAGGTTTAGTGAAGCATTTTTGAATGAGTGTAAACTTTCTTACTCAAGGAAACAACGGCTTGCCCCCGATGGGGTTTGAACCAAGGCAGCCAACAGTCTTACAATTACTAATCAGATGTGTTAACCACTTGGCCATGCGAAAACTATGGCCTAATAACAAATGGATCACAATTATAAAAATCTATTCAGAACAGAAGATTTTGTTTGTTTGTTTGTTTGTTTCATTTTACGCCTTTTCCCAACAGTATTTCAGTCATAATTAGGCGGGTAGTTTCCTAACCATCGTTCCTGAGAGTTACACCAGTACTAGACTGCCTTCCTCCACGCTAAACTACCAAAGCATCTCCCGGGGATCAAACCCACGCCAGAGAGGTAACTGGATTAGAAGTCATCAACTCTAACTCCTCGACCATGGAGGCGGTAATAACAATTTTAAATTTCTTTGAAGGCAAAATAGAGATGATGACTCTTAAGACATTCTTTTAAATCAACAATTAGAAACTGATAACCCCTAGCATGCTGGCAGCACATGTGTGGCATCAACAAGAAATGAGAGAAATATCTATTTCTTACCTTATGATTGTAAGAATCTGCAACAAGCAGGGGACCATCTTCTGTTGCCATGGAGACACCTAGAGGATGTTGAAGCTTTGCCTGGTTCCCTTTACCATCGACATCACCATAGGCAAACAAGTTCTAAAAATAGAAGTTGCCAAAATAAAACTATTTTTTACACGAGCTGTCGGTAGGACAGCACGCTCAGCTATTCTTAGTGCTTGATAGTAAAAGAACCTTGATAATGTAAAATTTTCTAAGTTAACAAAAGGGCCAATTTTTTCTTTATATCTATGTTACAATTATATGCCTTGGAGAGAGTCTTATTATGCTCTCAAACAAGTGTATTAAATTTCAACTTGTTTCAAAGCCAGATGTCAATGGAATATGAAAATATCTGAGGTGTTATGCAAACTTTAATGTAAATGCTAAGTTGAAAAGGGGGCATTATTTTGTCAAAATGTTTGATAGAGTTTCGTCCTTTTGTCTACAGGTTGGGGGCATGATGGTGAACAAGTGTGCAAAGTTTCAAAGCCATATGTCGATGGACTTTGTAAATATTTGAGGTGTTACAAAAACTTTTACAAATGTGGTTACGCAGAGGCGAACACCGATGCCGACGCTCGGGTGACTAGGATAGATCTACATATTCTTATTGAATAGTCAAGCTAAAAAAAACATATATCACTGTAACCTGGAAAATATAAATTTTGTTATTTGAATATTTGGAAATTAATAAGAGAAACAAATCATAAATGAATTCTAAAATAGTTGTGATTTACCTACACTTAATCTCTGAATGGGTGTAAGAGTTATATACGAACATGTATATATTTCAGGTTGAACAATGTGGAAAACAACACAAAGGGGCAATAAGGGACATTACTTCCAGAAAAATCACTGAACTGTAATATGCTTCTTATTTGTACAGCTTCTGTTAGCAGTACAGCTTCCAGTGAAAGTTGATAAAAATGCAAGTTGGTCGTATCTAAGAAATAGCCATTACAAAATTCTGGGATGGACAGTTGGGCAAACAGATGGATTGAAAAACTTAACCTACATGTATATGCAATCCTAAATTATTTCACTTTCTCTCCTCTGTCATTTTATAAACTCCTAATCTGCGACAGTTATAAAAACTGATTTATCAAGCTATCAATTTGGAACAGCCAATTCAAATTTAAGAATTTCTCAATATTAAGATAAAAATATTTGACATACCAAATGAGCACAGCCTTGTCAGAATACAAGGATGTGCTGGCTGACCTGGATCTATTCTAGTGGCAAAGGCAAATGACAGGTTAAATATCATAAAATTGTTTTGGACTTATGTTCAAGACAAATGAATATCGGCTAAATTTATTAAAGGGAGACAATGGGTATGTTCTGAACAAAAATATGACAGAAAACAATTACATGTAATGACAAAATTTTATAATCATGGCTTTAATGTAATTAAAACTGTGAAATAATGTAGTTGACCAAATATTTACGCTGGAATTTTTTTCCCCTTACTTTCCATATTAATTCATTGGTGCAAACAAGGAGTGCAATAACCTTTGCTATACAGAAAAATCTTGAGCAAATCACCTATGACCACAACTATGAATATTGACATGTCACAATCAATCAAAACATCAAAGAATGAGAAACACATGTGTGAAGTATAGACTGAAACACTGTTAACCTCCTAATATTGTTGTCACATTGAATTGTTTACTTAACACGTGATCAGTTTGAGGAGTAATTTATGGGCGACTGTCAAATATCGACATGGTAACGGCTATTAATAAGGTTAATTGCCTATGATCATGGTGATTGGGTGTACATGTAGATAGTGTGTAGGCTTTAAGATCAAACTTATACTTTACAAATTATGGTAAAATGAACTTTTTGATCTTTAATTTAGAAAAAGAGTAGAATGGCGGCATGGCCGAGTGGTTAACATGTCAGACTAGCAATCTAAGCATTGCTGGCCATGTGGGTTCAAGCGCCATTTGAGGCAAGCTGTTGTTTCCTTGAACAAGACACTTTATACTCATTGCTTAGTACTGGTTGGTTCAAGGAACGGATTTGAGACTTTTTCAATAAGTTTATAGCTTCAAACACAATCAAACTAAAATAAATTATTATTATTAACTTAACTAATTTAGAAAAGATATGGTTTATAAAATTATTATTCATGAAGTAAATACTTCTGTAAAGACTGTTTACAGATGTTATCAGATATATTACACTGTTTATTTATACATTTATAAAACTTCACATTTGTAACAACACTATTCATTATATAATGGTGACAATTATATATACTGTAAACACTGCTGCTGTCAATTCAACATGAATTTTTTTCCTCTAATAAAGGAAATTTGCTCTAGTACAAATTCGTTAAAAGGATTTTATGAAAGGTTATATGGCCATTTCTTGTTTGCAATATAACCCTTACCTATCAGATTGGGTTATATAATCAACCATTTAAATAGGGCCATATAGCCTTTAAAATCTTTATGACATAATATCAAGTTCTACTTATATTTTTTCTTTATTATTTTTTTATCATTTTTTTCAATATTTTATTTTCAAACAGATGAAATAAGTTTTATATACATGATATATGATACTTACCTTTTTATGATACTGAGGTTATTTAAGGTTTTTTAAAACAAAAAAATCAGTCAATAAAAAAATTTACCCTGGGGTCAATATCTCCTCCAACAACATTTTTCACGGCACCATCTTTTAGCTGAATGCTTCTTATAGACGAACTTTCACTGTCGGCAACACTGCAAATATATACACACATCTTGATTTTTCTTGCATAGCAGACTGGCGTTTCCGTTAGTTTTACACATGCCGGAAATTTCATCTGGCATGGGCGGTGCTAGATGAGTCACATGCCATACAACAACGTCATTTTAGCGTATTTGAATGAATGAATCCCGATAATAAAATGACGCCATTTTGATGCATTTTAGAAGGGAACATTGTGCTTAAGATGACAATATTTCGCCGTTTTTTTTCAACATTGTAAAGTCATACGCTATTGTTAGAAAATAGTTATGGAGTGAAATAACATTAATATCCATGAACAAGTATCTTTTTGAGGTAAACCATTTTAAATATCAAAGAATATGGCAGAATATGCAAGAAAAAGTATCAGACATAATTATGTTAGCAGTTCAAATCGAAACATATGACAGATATAAATAATCATGTTTGTATATCTATTAAAAGTATTTAATACTATTTATACTGATAACAAGTGTCCTTGGCCTTTCAAGGGCTACAACTCTGTCATATGTCAAGCTATTTAGTAGCTATTCATAAAACTATGCATTGGGATACTCTTGGTCTAAAGACAAGAATTTCTATGTGTCACTGTGACATTGACATACTGACCTTAAAATCAATAGAAATTCCCTACAGGCCATTAGTGCAGTCCTTACATAGTTTCATAAACTTTTTCCTCCTGAGTGAGTTTTAACTGAGTGTCCATAATTAATTCTATTAACTCACTCTTGATCACTAATTGCTCAAATGAGTTCTGAGACTTTGTAATGATTAACTGTTCTTTTTCTTTTTCTAAACACTTAGCTTGATGACAGAAACTCATTGCACCCAGTTGCAACCAGTGCAGACCCAGGTCTGCTTTCACATCAATACCATCTTATCATGGTTGGCACCATTCACTTATAAGTCGGAACATATTTTGATATTTTCCCTAAAAAATGATAAATGGTTTTGTCTTCATTGAAAGATAGACAAGTCCATTTAAGATACCTAAGGTAGGTAGGGTTAATTCTTCATGCTGCACTTAATTTAGTCAAATCATTTTTCACTGTACTTACAAAAGGCAGTTTAGTTTTTTCGACAGGGTAACACCTGAAGGTTGAGCAAATCCAGCTTTCTCAGCATAGGAATTGTTACGGTTTTCTTCCACACCACTTCCTGCAAGTCTCAAACATGTTCCAGCACTTACTTGTCTAAAATTATAACACATTGTCAAATTTTGTTGAATTTACTCTTGAGCAAAAAGAAGAGATACTTTAAACCTGAAGCTTGCTGGCAGCAAATTAATCTACCCTATGTGACCAGTGCAGACCATGATCAGCCAGCATATCAGTGCAGTTTGATCATGGTCTGCACTTTTCTCTATTCATTCATAATATATTTTGAAATTTTCCCTAAAATCAATGTATAGATTAGTTCAAACTAAAAGATGGTCAAGTTCATTTAAGATATTGAGTGTGTTAAGGCTTTAAAATTATCTTATTGATCTGAACCACTAAAACAGAAATTATTTGATATTGGGATTTGTCATGCAGAAAATATCGTCAATTTCTCTGCTAGAACTGAAAGTAACAAGCCTTAGCCTCCATGATAGAGCAAGGTCAGTCTGGTACCCCCACGGTAATATGGCCAGGCTCTATTCTGTTGGTAGCTCAGTCCTTGTATTTTAATATTGAAAACCCTAATACTTTGAATGGACTGTTCCAAATTAAAGCAGGGCCAATCCATTACACAAGTTCAGCAGGTTAAGGGTAAATAAGAAAACATTATCTCATTTATTTATCTCAATATTTCATTATCTCGATTTTTTTTAACAGTCGGTCCTTGAGGCCTTGAGGTAACGAGAGTCGACTGTATATTAAGAATAATCTAAATAGAAACTCAACTCACTGATTTTTGTACCATGCAGCTTCCTTAAGAAAGTATGCCCAGATCTGATGGGAACCAGCCATGGCTATTAACAACACAGCATCTTTTTCTCCACCTTAAAAATCATTGTAAATATAACACATGAAAATTGTAGTATACATGTATATATAACACATGTATGATACATGTACTGTAACAGTAAGCTGATTTCCTGAACAATTCCAGAATTGTTCCAGACATAATTGCATTCATTATAGTACAATAATAACTAGATGTGTCCTAGATCTTAACCCCTTGAAGCCCTGAACATCGTATTACTATGTTCTGCAGATGTTTTTGCCACTAAGATATTAAACTGTAAGATATTTGATCTACTGGTTCACATATATGCAAAGCAGTTTCAATTTCCTTCAAACAGAGCTATACTAAAACCTAAACTGTTAACTGAGGAACATATACACAACAAGGATCCTATAGTCTGTCCCATCAAATTTGAACATTCCATTTTTTATTTAATATAATAGTAAAATCATTTAAATTAATGTCATGTTAACCCTGACATCAATATCTCTAGGCATGTTTTTCATTTTTTTCATAAAGTCAGTAATATGGTCAAAATGTTAAAATTATATTTTTTTCCCGTTGACTTACGTTGTAACCTGACGTGACGTCCATTTCAAAATGGCGGCGCCCATATAGACGTCATTTAGGGTTCGTCTCACAATTAGCGTGAAATATACTTGGTAATTATAAAAAAATGATTATTCTTATTTACTTACTGATCAATAGCTAAATGTTATAATTAAAAAGAAAATGAGAACAAAGTTGGTGTCAAAAAGGCAATTTTACTAGCAAACCATTATTTAAAATAATCAAAATCATTTGAAGAGAAATTATCAGGAAGCTTTATAAATTCAAACACACAAAGCTTTAATTAATTACCATGATATACTGTCGTATTTTATATTTTTTAAGTGAAAAAGAACAATGAAGTGATTTGATTAGATAGCTTTTTAATCAAGCGCGTATCTTGAATACCACAACGCGTCGTAAGGGAGCGAAAACACTAGCTATAGAAGACTATAACAAGAGCTGTCAGAAGGACAGCGCGCTCGACTTTTTTAGTGCTTGCCTATAAAACAAAACTTTGACAGTTAAGGGCACACAAGACTTTAACTAGGAATTTCTAAGTACAAATCAAGAAACATTTTCACAGAGTTATCTTCTCTTGCTTACAGATAGGTCTCATGATGGCACATAAGAACTCCAACTTCCAAAGTAATATCTAAAATGGTTAAGTCAACAAGTGGACAAGAATGAAAAACTGAGTTTCTAAGTCAAAAAGGGCCATAATTCAAATAAAATCCTTGACAGAATTACCTTCTCCTGCCCATGTTTTGGGACCATGATGGTAAACAAGTATTCCAACTTTCAAATTAATATCTCAAACAGTTCAGTCAAAAAGTGGACTGGTACAAAAAAGTTAACCAAGATTCTAAGTCGATACAAGGCCTTAATTTTTTAAACAAATCCCTGACAGAGTTACCTTCTCTTGCGTACAGATGGGGGTAATGATGTGAAATAGCATTTAAAGTTTCAAAACAATATCTCAAAGGGTTAAGGCAATAAGTGGATTTTACCCATATTCAATGTATTGTCTAAGTAAAAAAGGGGCATAATTCTGTCAAAAACCTTGACAGAGTTATGTCCTCTTGTCTGTTGACGAAGGTCGTGATGGTAAACAAGTATGTTCAGTTTCAAAGCAATACCTCCAATGGTTTTGAAATAAAGTGAGGTGGTACAAAAAACTTAACCAAGCTCAATACACTTTCTAAGTCAAAAAAGGGCCATAATTCTGTCAAAAACCTTGACAGAGTTATGTACTCCTGTCTGTAGATGGAGGTTATGATGGTGAACAAGTATGGTAAGTTTCAAAGCCATACTTGTAATACTTCTGAAATAAAGTGGGGTGGTACGAAAAACTTAACCAAGGTGTGACGCCAACGCCGACGCCGACGCCGACGCCGGGGCGAGTAGGATAGCTCCCCTTTTCATAGAAAAGTCGAGCTAAAAATGGTTCTTCGCTAATTAATGTTTAATTTACATAATTCTGTAGTTGTCTGAATTCTGTCCATAAGTGTGTATCACGTCTATTCAAAAATAAATAAATTGACCAGGTTCGATGGGATACATAAATATGTTACCCTTCATATTTCGGGAGCGATGTCACGAATGCGCTAAAACTTTCCGTAGGTTTCAACTTTCACAAGAAATTGCCAACAAATACTACATTATCATGCAAATCTTTCAAAAAATATAAAGAAAGGAAAACTGATTCACTATACGTTCAGCATTGGTTTGCTTGTTACCACAGTGTCTACTTTAACTAACTCCCTCGCTAACGAGAGAACACAGACTCGCGTTCGAGGAAAATGTAAATTATAAGAATATATAATATCATGCTTTCTAGTTTAAGCAATGATCATGCTTTCTAGTTTAAGCAATCAAACGTAGGCCTATACACTTTAAGCTCGTAAATACAGAATAAACTTTCGTCTCACAATTCAACAAAATGTCAAGAAATACCGGCAGTGATTTGATATTATTAAGAGTAAAGTTCAATAAGACTAGTGACAATAAGTGTTTTTTGTAGACTCAAAGTGTTACATATAATTATTTTGTTAATATGAAGGGTAGATCCAGTCAAAGAGAAACACCGAGTGACGTTCTCAATAATTTTAGCCTTCCTAAAATTTGAAAATATTCAGTGAAAAAACAATAGATCTAGCATATTTTTGGCGGGAGAAAAAATACCGCGTATTGTATATTTTGTAGCTAAAAGAGTAGGATTTACAGAAGTCTTGAATAACGAGATAATATGTAAGGAAATTATTCCTGAGAAATATATAAAAATAGTTTAAAACATAAAATCAAAACGAATGTTATATGTAATTATGGGAAGAAGTATTGTACTGTTGTAGATTCATGTCATTAAGACTAGTGTGTTTAAAATTATTTTTAGATCTAAATGTTATCAAAAGTTTTATATTATTAATAATTTATATGAATTGAAGGTATACGTTTTACAGTTTCAAAATCTGGGTATACAAGAATTATTTAAATGCCATCAAGATAAATTTATTCAACGCTTAAAATTATCTTTTTGAGGTTACATATGCCTAACCGCCCTCTGTCAATGCCGCAACTGGAATCATCCATTAAAAGCGCGAGACATTTTTGTTACGTCATATATTTCGTAAATTGTTGTTGACGTAATAAAGTTGTTTTTTTTCGTCAGGAATCCATAAGCATTGTGATGTTGACAACTAAAATTGATGGGCCGTTCTTGAATTATGGATTTGGAACATGCTGAATTATGATGTGTTTCATTTACATATTTCACTGCTAACCCAGATAACTCCACAAATTGAACAATGTTTTAATAATGAGACGGATTACCAGTTTAAAAAATCTGGATCATCAAAAGTGTAGGAGTCATGTCATTCAGGATTTTTGAAGTAAAAACTTGGGATCTACGGAACTGGATAGAAACCGGCAATGAAGGAATCTTCAGAATGTGAATTTGTCGTGACGTTTATAAAGTTCATAGGGATTCTATTCAGCTTAAAAGTAAGTGCAATTTCTAGATCTACTCCAAGTGACTCTGTGTTCTTGTTGCTTATTTTTAATTTTTTAAAGTTTTCCATCATGCATTGCAACTAAACTGTTACATCGTGTAGATCCAGCTTTGTAAAATAATCATGAAACGACCCCGAGAACCTCATGTATATTTTAGAAACATGACACGTGCTTTCTCCCGTTCATCTTCAAATGAAGAGTACTTCGGCAATGGCTACGGAAAATAAACAACAGAGATTTACCATAGAGAAATCAAAATTTGCTTTCACAAGAAAAGTAGACACTTTAGAGTAAATTCATGAAAAATCTCGAGGGTGACTTTTTTTTAGTTTACAAAAAAGTTTTATTTTTTATTCAACGTCGTTTTTTTAATTCATACCAGGCAAAAGTTCATTTCCATTTTTAATGGGACAGACTATAATAGTTATTTATTTGCTTTCAAGCAGGTTTTACCTAAGCCATCAGCTAGACACACATCCCATGGTGAAGACAGTTCCTGACAGCAGCCATGTTTTCCCCCTTCTTTATCATTTCCCTGCTTACCAGTGCCAGTTAGTGTAACAACATTTTTAACATTCAGGTCTGCCTGAAATTGAATCATTTTATAAAATATTCAAAATTATGTGATGATATTTTAAACATTTGAAAGACATAGGGGCTGTTGTGGGTCTATTAATAATCAACTGACATCCATTTATAATAGAGAAGAACTCATTGAAGAGGAAGGTCACTTGTTACATAATAGGCAATCCATGGTCTACTTAGATTTTACACACTAATTTTTTGTACAAAATGCTCAAAATTCAAAGATTAAGGCTTTAAATATAAGAATTTAGTCACTTGGTCAAAGTTTAATATTAGTCTATATAAATATATGCTAGAATTACAAGCCTTAGATAATGACCTACAATATGATATCAAAGACATTTGTAAAGTTTTGAAGTACATATGTGTAAAATACCTTCATTGCTTGGTGAGAAATGAAGTTACACTTAAAGTAATGCATTCACAACTTTAACCAAAATGACAACATCAATATAAATGCTGATGGCACATGGTTGAGTAAGACAACCCCACTATTCTTTAAAAGTCTGATCTTGAATTATTTTCAAATGCTTCATATAGAACTGGTATAATCCAGTATTTGTATAAAACCAGATAGAGAAAGTATGAGTCATATCTTTCGAAGTCAACATTTAAGAATGACTGATGAGAATACAAGTAGGCATTTAAACATTTAAATGGTTAAATGTATATTATGCTCAGATATCCATATTAATAAATAAATTATTAGAAATGTCAGACATATGTTTAATAATTGGATTTAAACCAGACTGTGTCCATGCTAGATGTTAAACAGCTGAGGAAAGTCAAGCACTGAATCATAATGTTTAGTAACGTGTCATAAAGATAGGAAAATGTAAACAAAGTAGTATTTTGACTACCATACAAACTACTTATTCCCTATAATTATACCAATTGACAAAAAAAGCAAAAAATACCAAAGATAGTTCTTCTACATCAATGTACATGGCAAATGAGCAATTTTTGGAAACTGCAGCAAGATATCAAAAACAAGAACTAAACAAGAGGGCCATGATGTCCCTGAAGTCCCTCACCTGTATAAAGGCCCCCGTAGCGGGGCCAGTTTAAACCCCAGGGCTTTTATTTGAACAAACTTGGTAGACATCCATTAGAAGATGTTTCATGCTAAACATCTAAGGTCTAGCTGGTCAAGTTTTTTCTTTACACATATAGTTAAAAACAATGACACACCTGGGGCAGGGCCAGTTTGGACCCCAGAGCTTTTATTTGAACAATCTTTGTAGACACTTACTAGAAAATGTTTCATGCTTAATATCTGAACTCTAGCTATTCAGATTTTTTGAAGAAGATTTTTAAGTTTTTGCTATACACATATTAGGAAAATCAATGACCCCCGGGGTGGGGCCAATTTTGACCCCAGGGCTTTTATTTGAACAAACTTTGTAGACACTTACTAGAAGATGTTTCATGCTTAATATCTAAACTCTAGCTATTTGGGTTTTTTCAAAGAAGATTTTTAAGTTTTTGCTATACACATATAAGGAAAATCAATGTCCTCTGGGACGGGGCCAATTTTGACCCCAGGGCTTTTATTTGATCAAACTTTGTAGACACTCACTAGAAGATGCTTCGTGCTTAATATCTTAACTCTAGCTATTTGAGTTTTTTCAAAGAAGATTTTTTAAGTTTTTGTTATACACATATAAGGAAAATGAATGACCCCCGGGGCGGGGCCAATTTTGACCCCAGGGCTTTTATTTAAACAAACTTGGTAGACACTCACTAGAAGATGTTTCATGCTTAGTATCTAAACTCTAGCTATTTGGTTTTTTTCAAAGAAGATTTTTTAAGTTTTTGCTATACACATAAAAGGAAAATCAATGACCCACGGGGTGGGGCCAATTTTGACCCCAGGGCTCTTATTTGAACAAACTTGGTAGACATCCATTAGAACATGTTTCATGCTAAATATCTTAGCTCTAGCTCTTTCGGTTCTTTAAAAGAAGATTTTTAAGTTTTTGCTATATGCATAAATTAAAGGGAAAATCAATGACCCCCTGGGGCGGGGCCAATTTTGACCCCAGGGCTTTTATTTGAACAAACTTGGTAGACACTCACTAGAAGATGTTTCATGCCAAATATCTAAGCTGTAGCTCTTTGGGTTTTTTAGAAGAAGATATTTTAAGTTTTTTCTTTTGGTTGCCATGGCAACCAGAGTTCTGCATGGAATTAAATTCTTTGAACAATTTTCAAAGGTGACCACCAAAGGAACATTCCTGTGAAGTTTGGATGAAATTGGCTTAGTGGTTTATGAGGAGATGTCATTTAAAGTAAAAGTTTACGGACGACGGACGGACGACGGACAGACGCCGGACGGACGCCAGACGAAAAGCGATCACAAAAGCTCACCCTGTCACTTTGTGACAGGTGAGCTAAAAAGGTATGATCCAGGTACAAGTTTGCGGACGGCAAAGGCAATGGCAACGGCAATGCCGCCAGGAGTATAACAATACCTCTACTTTTTTTTCAAAAACTTTTCTGGTTCTGCCAACTGTTTTTCTTGTTTAAGGAACACACATTCTTCTAATGGTACCATACCTTAGTTTTCATGGAATAGCACGGAAGTGCCACACTTAATGTTCCATGATCACCACTGTACGACCACATCATTCTGATGTCAAATTTACCGTTTTATCAGATCATGTTCATGTATTTCACACTTACATAAAAAGCATCCATGTACAATACTTTCACTGTTTATTGTCATATATGATATTATACATGTACTTAATTAACTATCAACATAATTATTTATGGTATCAAATGTTCATGTAATCCAGTATTGAAAATTACACAATAACAATATCTAATATTTCTTTAACTTCAATATTAAATTTAAGCTTTCAAAGTATACATGTGTAAAATTGTAAGAAAATGAAAAGTGAGTCTTACTTTTCTAATAGTATGGTTGTCAGTGTCAGCAATGTATAAAATGGAACCATCCAATACAACACCTTGTGGCGATGAAAACATGGCCTCTGCAAATCCACCATCTTTGTTACCTCTGTCCTTGCCTCCAATCACATGCTAGAATAAACAAGAACATCTATGAAAACAATGGACATTCCTTTATCCTGATTAAACACAGCAACAAAATATCTATTATAAAAGTAGGTCAAGGTCTTTTTCTTAATCTCAGACACCTGTTGTCTCTATCAACACATGGTAAGAATATATGTAAATACAATGCACACTACCCCAAAGTCAAGCAAATTTAAAAAAAACTAAAAATACTTTTGATAAAAATGTAGGTCAAGGTCATTTTCTATATCTCAGTCTCATCAACACATGATAAGAATATCTGTAATGTAATGATAGCTCCAAAGTCATGATTACCAATGAGAGAGTAGTATGTCAAGGTCATTTTTTTTCTATCCTGACTAGTGACCTTGATTTCTTTAACACAATGTATGTACATACCTATCAAATATCTAAAATAGCTGATAAGATTTTCCTATGACAAAAATTATAAATATCTCCACTGGCATTGAACGTGCCTGACCCTTGACCTTAATCATTCCATTGACCTTAATAAACCCTCTTCAAGCTACAAGGTCTTTAAAGAAACCACAAAACTACATAAATTTTTATGGAAGACTAAGTCAATGAAAGAATATATATTGTCAGTGACCATGACCTTGACCCAATTGACAATAACTTCCATCAAAGAGTCGTCTATGTAAAATATCTACATATAAATAATCTATATCTAAATCTATGTCTAATGATAATCTAATTATATAAACCTTATCATCTTTGTTGAATAAAAACTTTAAACAAAACTGTAATACTTGCCTGAAAAAAAAACAAACTTTGAAAAATATATGTCAGTAACATATCATTTAAAAAGATTTTAACACATTTAAAGTGGTTTGGTGACATAATTTTTACAGTTTTTTGTTTATTTTGACATTTTCATAGGGATAAAAACAACACTCAAATGTCAGTTTTTTTCCAACTGATACTGCACGTGTAACAGTCTACTGCGTCCGTATGAATAAGGCAATTAATCATAACATGTCTGAATCCACATACCATGACTTTAATTGTTTACTACATTCTACATTTATTTAAGAAATCATAACTCAAAGTATTTGATATGCATGAGTTTCAATAACAACAAGCAAATCCCCAATGGCTTATTCACTCCAATTAACACAAATTGAGGTGTCAGGCTTACTAGGGTAGATTAAGTTTTGGGAGCAACAACTTGACATATACTTCCATTGATATGTAATTGCAACTGAGATAGATCTTCCAGACTTAACTTAATGAAACATAATGGCTCTCTTCACTTTCATGAAAATTTGATGGGAAGTCAAAGCAAAAAAAGAAGTACAATGTGGTAAACACAGTGCTTAAGCATTAACTTCGCTGTTTTATTTCTAAATTCAGATTATTTAGTAAAATGATGCAAAAAACATGAAAAAAAAAATATTCAATTTAATGACATTCATATAGGTTGTTAGATATACAAATGTAGTTTTTAAGATAAGAAAAATTAACCTCTCACAATTCTATAATCTCCATGTAACCTGAGTGATTGAAAACTTTCATATTCTGGTGTAACAGTAATATTTTACTTCATATTTATTAAAAAAAAATCACCTAAAATAGCTGTTTATAACATTTTTCATATTTACTCAATTATATTATATAGAATAATGACCCCCCAAAAATAGCAAGGGGGGTAAATAATGTAAAAATCAGGAACTTAGCAAGGGAGGTAAATATTAGCAACTAAATATTGTTACAAGAACTGTCGTAGGACAGTAACCCTCGACTATTCGAAAAGTTGTCACAAGGGTGTTTCATTGAGTATAATACATAAAATTGTCCGAAAAGGTACAAACCCTTCAGTAGTTATGGAGATACCCGCTTACAAGCAAAAATTTTCCTAGAATTTCTAAGTCGAAAAAGGGTCATAATTATGCAAAAAAGTAAATCAGAGTTGCGGAACTTGTGCCAATCATCTTAGATAATCACAGACAACAAGAGTGTGAAGTTTCAATCTATTCCCTTCAGTAGTTAAGGAGATACAAGCTTACACGCAAAAAATTAACCAAGAATTTCTAAGTCGAAAAAGGGGCATAATTATGTAAAAAAGCAATCAGAGTTATGGGACTTGTGCCAATCATCTTAGATAATCACAGACAACAAGTGTGTGAAGTTTCAATCCATTCCCTTCTGTAGTTATGGAGATACCACCTTACACGCAAAAACTTAACCAAGAATTTCTAAGTTGAAAAAGGGGCATAATTATGCAAAAAAGCAAATCAGAGTTATGGGACTTGTGCCAATCATCTTAGATAATCACAGAGAACAAGTGTATAAAGTTTCAATCCATTCCTTTCAGTAGTTATGGAGATACCAGCTTACACGCAAAGACTTAACCAAGAATTTCTAAGTCGAAAAAGGGGCATAATTATGTAAAAAAGCAAATCAGAGTTATGGGACTTGTGCCAATCATCTTAGATAATCACAGAGAACAAGTGTGTGAAGTTTCAATCCATTCCTTTCATTAGTTATAATGGAGATACCAGCTTACACACAAAAACTTAACCACAGGGACGCCGACGCCGACAAATGGGTGACTGCATTAGCTCGATTATTCTGCGAATAGTCGAGCTAAAAATCTGGAAATAATTATATCTCTCTCTATAAATAACATTATATATTCTAAGAACAGCAGATCATCCTTGTATCGTTGGGACATGTATAAAATATTTACATATCACGTCATTAGATGGTCAGATATAGAATTGATCTTCTCTTGACAGGCTATATGATTTATTGATAATTTGCGTGTATTGTTTACGACACTTGGTCAATAAAACTGTGTGAGGGGGCATCAGTTAATTAACACCTTAATTTTTTACGTTACTTTTGACACTGATTGTAGACATGACTAATGATGTAATTACACTAAGTGGACAAATATAGCATATATTCAAAGGTCATAAAATGACTAGACACTAAACATTAGTTATACTGGGTATATTTTTAACTTTCTTAAGCAATATGCAAATGAAGATGCTTTACATTTACACAAAAGAAAGTATAATTATGTCTTTTAAGGGTGTAAAAGAAAAGTACCTCAAACACAGAAGCGGCTTAATATTGATCTGCAGAAAGAAAAATAAAATGACAGTCCCTCAATGGATTTAAAGCACGACCGAAATCTTCTTGATTGGCTTATAAAAGCCTATATACCTAACGATTATTTAAATTAGCAAAAGCCTGTTGGTAAAAATTACATAATATATGTTTTTATGTATTGTCCAGGATCAGAGTTGAAATCACAGGATAGGTTGAACTTATTAATGTTAGGGAACAAAGGGAAAACAACACATGATTTGAATGAAAATCTGGCATTTATTTAAAATGCCATAAACTAGCATTATTTATACTTAATACACAAATAAATTTAATAACATAGTTTAATAAAAGATTCCAGAGAGGAACTAACTGGGAGGCAAAAAAAAACCAAAAGGGATAACCCACAGCCCAATTACATAATACACATGTATATGTTTATACGTAATTTTTTTTAAGATTATATTCAGTTCAAATACATGCAGTGTATTTAACCATAATTTAACCTACTGAAACCACGGATTTACGATTTATATTACAATTAAAGTCCGGGCTGAAACCAAAAGTGATTTAAGACATTTCCACCCGAATTACATTCTACTGAGCCAGCAACTGAAAATTCATAAAATCTGATCCAACCTCTGGCACGTTATTTTTAAATCAATATTTATTGAAATCCCTTAAACCTCAAATTTACAGCAGGATTATCCATTGTACAAATTCTGCAGGTTATATTAGAACAATTAGAACATATTTGATGGTTTCTTTAATGAAAATTAAATATTCCTTAAGTTTGATCTTCATTGATAAATATTATCTTAATTGACAGGCCCTTGAAGGCATTTCTTGTCGGAGTCTATAACTTTAAAAAGCCCATTTTGCCAGAGAATTTTTTTTTCCTTTTTCTCAAAAGTGTTTTATTTTTGATGTTCTTTATACATGTTATACATGTAGTTTAAAAAAAAAAACAAACAAGAACGTGTTTGTTAAATACAAATTCCCCCGGCTCAGATTCTTGTCAGTAGCAAATTACTTCAAAAAATGTTTACCCATTCACTCAGTTATGGACAGAAAAATTGCCAAAAAATTGTAAACACAAGTTTTATAACTTGACAAAGTCATGGCATTTTGTAATTGTGAAAAATATAAGTTGCCAGGTCATTGCTCTGACTAATGTGAAGTTGAAAAATATTTAACTTCATGCAAGTTATTGTCCTACCAAATATGAAATACATCTGTCATTAAATAAAGGCTGTATGGGCAAAAGTGTAAAAATCTATTTTGAGCACTGGTGACCTTGACCAAACTGACCCCTAACACTTTCCAAAAGAAAAATACCATGTAAGTAATTTTCCTACCAAATATAAAATACATCTGTCAATAAATAAAGGCTGTATGGGCAAAAATGTAAAAATCTATTTTTAGCACAAGTGACCTTGACCCAACTGACCCCTTACTCCATCTAAAGGAAGAATACCATGCAAGTTATCTTCTTACCAAATATGAAATACAACTGTCAATAAATAAAAGCTGTATGGGCAAAAGTGTAAAAATCTATTTTTAGCACAAATGACCTTGAGCCACTGATCCCTACCCCAATCAAAAGGATGAATACAATGCAAGTTATCTTCCTACCAAATATAAAATATATCTGTCACTTAAAAAAGGCTGTATGAGCAAATGTGTAAAAATCTATTTTAGCACTGGTGACCTTGACCCAACTGACCACTAACTCCATCAAAGTTTATGTTTCTATCAATTATAAATAATATCTGTCTATATAATAAGGTCAATACACCTGTAAAAATGTAAAAATCTATTTTTAACATTGGTGACCTTGACATTGGTAGCATTGACCTTGACCCAAATGACCCAAATGACCCCATACTACACTAAAAAGAAGGTGTTTGTATTAAACTAAGACATCAACTAAAAAATAAAGGCTGTATGAGCAAAAAGGTTTATATTTATTTTTTAAACCAGTGACCTTTACCTTGACCCTAGAGACCGCTTACTCAAAAAATAAGTGGAGGACCATCAAAGTTATCCACCTACTAAACATGAAAGATATCAGTAAAGAAATTAAGCAATTAGGAGAAATTTAAGATAAATCCAACTTGCCGAAATAGGTTAACCAGACAAGGCCCTATTTTCAAAGTAAAAAAAGGGAAATAACTGGGAAATATGGATGACACAGTTATATAACTTGGCAATATCATGTGCTTTGTATTGATAAGTAAGTGTGGAAATTATAAAGCCATTAGTAAAGATAGCACTTAAAATATTTCAAACTTGCCATTTAAGGTTAACCATTATTCATTTTCTAAGTACTGAAAAGGTCAATAACTTGGTAAATATGAAAGCCAGAGTTATGAAACTTGCCCAGATCATGTACTTTATATTGATTAGTAAGTGTGTAAACTTAGAAGCCGTTTGTACAGGTAGAACTTGCCGTTCTAGGTTAACCTCGTACGGACAGATGGACAGACGGACGGACGGTTCAATTACTATATGCCCGGGGGCATAAAAACAAACAAACAAGTTACCAATTACCTAAACCATCTTTTTCTTTGGTTGCTTTTTGGCATTTAGTACAGTAATTGTGATTTAGTATATTGTATGGAAGTCAAAATATTATTTTGTTTACTATTTTTTTTGTTACTTTTTATATGACAAAAAATGTTACATTTAACAATACTGATAATGCTTTATCCTTTAACCCAATAGTGGCAACAGAATCTACCCATGAGACCAGTGGTGACCAAGATTAGTGTTTTAAACACATCGGCTCATGGTCTGCACTGGTTGCTTAGGCAGTTCTTATTATAAAATTTTCCTGAAATATAATTAATGGTTTTGTCCAGAATGAAATAAAGGAGTCCATTAAAGATATTTAGCATGACATCTTTTAGGGTTAATTAACTTTTCTTTCAAAATTTCACTGTCTCCTCACTTCATAATGTTTCTTTTTCGGCACTTATGGCGTGACATATGTAAACATTGATGCGTGTACATACGTTTCCGTAGCTGTTAATTTGTCAACTGAAGGAGCAAAATATACATGAATAGCTAAAAGCTAAACATGTGATTTGACGATTTTAGTTAATGAGTTTGTTAATGAATTTAGTCTGACATCACTGGTTACGTACTTGAGATGTTAAGAGACTACTCACTAAAATGATTGTCGGACACATGTAATGTAACATGAAAGTGTCACAACCTTTTGTGCTTGTCAGATATAGTGTAAAGTACCATAACTCATTGTTATTTTTGCTGAAGTTGAATGAGACAATTGCACCTACATGTAACTTACCAAAGATGATCTTATATGTCTCAGGGTCTTAGCATTTAATTTTTACCGAGGGTAATAACTGTTATGACTTTTCCAGACACTGAATAAGCTACATAACATACCAAATATCAGTTTTAAGATTTGTAGTTTCCAACAAGATGATTTTTCAAGATCATAAACAAAACAACGTAGCGCTCATTGGGCTTTTTGGAAAGAGCATCTGGCTTGTAATCCAGGGGTTGTTGGTGCGGCAATACTTCAATAAGACATTATTGATCGAGAACAATAAGTCTAAAGGTCGTTTGTCTCTCATAGCTGATTTAGAAATCATGTGGGATTAGTAAGTTGGTCATATGCAGAGAAATTGGTTATTACTGGTAAATTATCTACACATGCCTGTTTGTTGGATCAACCACCGAGAAATGTTCCAAACGATGTATCAAATTGGTTTTAAAAACAAGATAAACAAGTAAAGTTTAGTTGAAACTATTATGTAATTATAAATAAGAAAAACGACAGACATTGTGCATGACAAACAACTAACATCATGTGAGCAGAACATTTCATCTCTGAGCACTTTTAAATATTCTAACATCAACAGAATGAATTTACAGCTTTAAATCTTAAGTTTTAAAACATTTGGGCAGATGTCATCCTCAAGAGCCTCGAAATATTAAAGTTTTACACCACATTTAAACAACAATAACAAATAACAACAATCTTTTGTTGACATTTCAGCACAATTATTCAAATTACAGACTAATCTTAGTAACTAATTATAAACTTTCGCCAAAAAATCTGAAATCTTGAAAATTCGCACAGCCGTTTATTTGACTTTTGCTGCACAAAAAACATTGTCACAGTGTCAAGATAATTTAGGTAATTTGTCAATCAAGGCAGTTCATAAATAATGTATAAGCCATGTAAAGGTACCGCAGGCCCCTCCCACTTGTCCATAATGACAAAAAACTACGAAATATAAACGTTCCTTTGCAAAGTCACGAGGGAAAATAGATGGACGTGTTTCAGTACAATTCTGGATCTAAGTAAAACTCAAGCTAATAACTTCTCTTTTTATTTTTGATTTTCAATAACTTATAAATTCAACACAGAAACTGTATAAAATACAAAAAAAAAATGAGGAGCAAATTTAGGACTTATTCAACTTTAGCTGTTTTTATTGTTCTGATTTCTAGTGGTAAGTAAGGTTTAAATTTTGTATAAATTTTTTGTGTGTCTCAAATATAATTAAAATGATATTTTAAGTCTCAATCCTTTTTTTTATTATTGTTATTTTCAACAACAAATATCTTCAATCTCAAACATTAAAATATTGCCATTTTTCAAAAAAAAAACAAAAACAAGTTTTTATAGGGTTAACGCACGTTTTTCCGTGTTATAACGTCTGCAGAGTCCCGAGGAACGGTTGGTGCCCGAGCCCGGTAGGGCGAGGGCTCCAACAGTTCCAAGGGACTCTGCAGACTTTATAACACGAAATAAACGTGCGTTGACGCTATTATAGCATAAAATTTTCAAACAAATTCGTGATGTATAGTTTATACAAAACACAATTACATTAAATTCTTGTGCTTGGACGGTATTTATCCAATTCTGTGTTTTACGTATCCGTTTCATTTTTCCGGGGCCAACAACTTGGAAAATTCTCGGAACCGAACGAAATTTTGAATTTTAATTGATTTAACAAAGCTTGGCCTTTGGAGATTTATTATCTCAAGAAAAAAATAAAACGTTACATTACTCTACCCTCTACCCAAGACAAAACATGACCCTCAGAAATTCTTAGAATGATTTCAGATTGACGGTAGAAAAAAGATCAGTGACATCAGAATCGGTTTTTTTTTCCAAGCAAACAAGTTTATAAAAAAATCAGGCACTAAGCATTATTCTCTCAAAGAAATATAATGAGCATTTATCAACATTAAAATAAATAAAAAAACATTTTCTCATATTAATTTTGTGTTATCTAGTTTTGTAAGTTAATCGGAGTGTTAAACTGAATGACAGGTAGATTCTACTGTATTTGTTTACATTGACAACTGTCCGTTTCTTAGAAAGGGCGACAACCAAGATTAGCACCGATGTCTATACGCCGTTTTTCCGGCATAGTTACTTGAATATACGACTGAGGCCCTCGAATCAATAAATTTCAATATAACAAGAGCGCATGACTCTTCGGCAAACAGGCCAAATCGTCATTTTTTGTTTGTTTGTTTACTGGGCCCTGTATGTATTGCGCATAGGTGAAACCGGGCTATAACAAGAGCGCGTGACTATGTTAACACATGGTTTTGGTCCCGTTATAACATGGGCAAAAGAGGGAAAAATAGCCGATTTTATGCTATAAACTGCCTTATTAGTTTTTCCCAGTGCTTTTTGCTTTTCTATTTTGAATAACTTGTTAAAAGTTTGTGTTAAATTTGAGACCCCTTTTCCCAAAGTATGCCAAAATCATGCATATTTTCCCCAAGAAAAAGGCTGAGGCCTCTTCCCCAAAAATGGTGTTTTGGTCCCATACTCATAGAACCAGTGCAGACCTAGAGGCACATTTGTTGTGTCTGATCATGAAAATATGCATGCACTGTTTGCTAGTCAATTAGTACTTATTTTTAATATTTTCACTAAATATCTTGAATGTTTTTTGTCCAGATTGGAAGATGGAGAAGCCCATTTCAGATAATTAGGGTGGGGTGAAGGTTATATACTTAGCCTGGTAATATGCCCAGTAAATTTGTTTCATGTGACTGGGGATAAAATAATGCACACTCTGTCTTAACAATTTCACTTAAGAAAAGAAATATAAAATATTTCTTCACGCTTATATTATCATGTTAGTAAGATACACTGTCTGCAGTATCTATGTATATAAATACTTTAAAACAATTAATTCAATATTGACAAAGTACCCAAATCATTGCTGGCAAAAAAGGACACTAAGTCTTAAGGACAAAGGGCAAACAAAATTGACAGAGAATAGCCCATAAAAGTAACCAAAACTCAAGATAAAAACAAACAGCGCAGGGTTGAAAAACACTATTAATCAAAAACCAGTACAGGGGAACCATCTGACCTGAATGACTTTTGTCCAGTATCTGGATCAGCTTGGCTTTCATGTACTTTACTCTCTAGGTAAAGTGACAATTTTGGGCCCTTTTTTAAAAGTATTTGTGATTAAGATTGAAAAGAAAAAATCCAAATATTATGTAAAGATATAATATATAAAGATGATGATTGCAATTTTAAATTAGTCGATAAAGAAGCAATTAAGGTGGCTGTAATCAAAACATTAACCTTTATTTCCGTAAATGGACTTGTCCATCTTTCTATCTGGACAAAGCCATTCATTCATTTTTAGGGATTTTTATAAAGCTATGTAATTATAGAAAATTCAAAGTTTTACTGGCTGATTTTCACTGGACTGCACGATTTAATTTACTTTTACAGAGGATAACACATTAATTATTTAAGCTGAGGGCTTAATTTGGAGTTTTTGACAAGTGGACTTAACAATTTCTTTTTCCCTTTTCATGTATTACCTTCTTGTGATATAAAATCAATGATATTATAACAATTGACACATCTTTCATATCCAAATCAAATCAAGTCCATTGTCCACACCAAGCATAGTGCATAAGTGATCACATAGAATAATTACCAGCAAACCTTTGCTGTCTGATTATAATGAGCACTATTCCTTTTTCAGTCAGCATATATTGTTAATTTCTTTTCTTCTAAAAACAATGAATCACATTGTCCAGATCAAAAGATGGACAAGTTATAAGATTTATTATATTTAACATAGTAAGGGTTACAGCAAAAAGCTAGAGTCAATCTTGCTAGTGAATGCAACATTTTGAGTTATACAATCTTCTTTAATGCAGCCTACATTCTTAGTTCAGCCAGCAACCCCTAATTATGAAAGAAACTAATCTATTTTTAATGCAATGATATGAGCGCAAATTTTTCATGGCTGTTGTTTTCAGAATATATATTATCATTCCAGTATACAGTATATAAATAATAATCAAGTAAGAAAACGACTCAAATACAAATATGTATATTTTCAGGACAATGTCAATTCTCAATGTCCAGTATGCTAGGATCCATGAATCCCTCCATGTTGTCAGGCATGAATCCTTCCATGTTTGGGTCTGGAAGTTCATCTTTGATGGCAGGTATGGGTGGCATGGGCAGCATGGGTGGCATGCCAGGAATGGGCAGCATGGGAAATTTTGGCTCAAGCATGATGATGCCAAGTATGATGGCTATGGGGCAAGCAATGAATGACCCTCTGATGAGTCTTGCGATGGGATCTATCGAGCTGAATCCCACAGAGGTAATGATTCTAAACAATCTTGTGCAAACAATTGTTGGGCCAGAGGCTTCTGTTAACCCAGCCTTGATGGTTCTGTACAGCAGTGACGGTGGGCTGCCTATCAACGCAGCCAAAATGATCCCGTACATCACCATCATGCAAGGTATGGCAAAAGACTTGAAGATAAAAGTACCTGGTGTCTCTGGTGAAGCAACTAAAGAACAAATTGAAAACTACATTTTCCAGAGATCACTTATGTGGATGCAACAAAGAAATATGGCCGGAGCTTTCATTGAAAATGCCGGATTTTTCTTAATGAGCAATGCTATGAATGGCAATTCGTTTTCGTCACCTTCTTCATCTTCATCATCACCAGCCTCCACCGCCAACACTGCCGCGGCAACAGCCCGTGCTGCAGCAGCCGCACGGGAATCACTTGCCAAGTTTATTAAATCACAAACAGATAAAACTGCGTCCACAGGTAAATCTGCTTCAGCTGGTAAACCAGCAGCTGGCTCTGGAGCAGCTTCTAAAGCAACAACTCCCAAACCACCAACATTTAGTAAAGAGTTTGTTGCCCAAATGATTGCTGCTTCCAACAGCCAACCATCTTTGCCTGCGCGCATGCCAATTAATATGCCATCTGGCATGAATTTCCCTGCAGGTATGTCTATGCCTATGGGAATGTCCTCTGGATTTTCCCTTCCAATGTCTTCGGGTGAGGGCTCAACAGCAGGGGGTGCAGGAATGAATCCTTCAAATATGATGGCAATGGAAATGTTGGGATTTTAAACATTTATTTGTTTAATTAGTCTAAGCGTTTTATTTAAAAAGTTTGTTCTAGCAATTTTTATTTCAACATAACTAATGTTAAACAAATTTAATTGGCATTGTTGCAATAACTAATTTTATCACATTTTTATATACTGTGTATATTTATACTGAATTGATGTTATGTTTGAATTTGCTGTATATGTAATAATCATGTTCAAGCAGAAAGACAAATAAAGAAGAATTCAGGATATCAAATGAAATTGATAGTTCTCATTAAAACTGTGAATTCACTTCATAACATTGGCATGAATTTTCATGGTTTTCTCAACAACAAAAAATATTTTTGGGTTCATGAAAATACAATGTAAGTGGATTGATGATTTGATTAAAGTGTACACTCACAAATTTTTACCATTTCAAGCACTAAAACCTTTTACTTTTATATTAAACTAATTTATTAGTATATCTATTTAAGTCATAAAATTAGTCATAAACCTTAAAAACCATTCACACTTCATTGAAATAAAAATGTTATAAACAGTTTGTAGAGATTTTAACATTTTCAAGAAAGGTAATAGCTTGAGATGGATATTATATTTCATAGCAGCCAAAGTGTTACTTTTACAATATATATTGATATACTGGTTGCACTGACTTTATTGTAATACTCAATACAGGCTTAACACTATTGTTGTAAACAAAATCAAAATAGTAAGTATTGTTACATCTTATCAAAATAATTACAGTTTAAATCACAAATAATGGAGTTTTTTTAATTACATGTATCCTTCTTTTATCTTTGTAAAGGATTTGCACTAAAACCGGAAAAGACTTTATACATTACACCTTTTACTTCATTACAACTTCGATATTTGTTTTCCAAATATATCTAGAAATTGAATATTCAATAAGTCAGTTTTAAAGGAAATCAAAAGCTTTGTACTCCGTCGATATGTTAATTAATCTCATTATAATTATTAATCAAAGTACTGAAGTACAGATTCCATGTCTATAATCTGTCAATTTGAGTTTAATTAGCCATATTATGTAACATTATAATGACCCCATGAAAACAATGTTATAAATCTGATCAAAATATAAATTCAATAAATTATTGCATTAGTTAAAATAAAAGGGAATGCAGGAAAATGGTCTCTTAACCTAGGTGGTCTCTATCCAGGAATTGAGATTCATTACCTTAACTTTTCCTGTGTTGTCGGCTACAATAACCCTATGGTGTCCAGTATCAGCCACTACCAAGGTCCTACCGTCATCACTCACACATACCTGTATAATAAATTCATAGCATATGCACATAAATACTGGTTTAAAAAAGTCAGATTAAAAAAAAAAAAACAGCCTTTTTTGTTGAATAAGTCTGGCTAAAGACATGATGTAGCTTAGATTTAGACTTTTAAATTGACTCACAGAGAGGTATATTATGAACAGCAGGGCTTTTTCCCAGGATTTTGGGAACATGACCCATACCCATGCAATTGGGAATTTAAGCGATATTTTCTTAAAAATTGGGAAAAATTCACGACTAAAATCTTGCAGTGATTAAATTAATGCAAAGAATCACGTACTGTCTCTGAGGAGGGGATCATCAAACATTTAAATACCATAACAGTGAATATTTTTCTGTGCATTGGGAAAATAATATACTTTTTTTCAATTGGGAATATGACCGAATATCAGCTGTAAAATAAGCCAAAAAAACCCTATAACAGTCTAGTACTTATTTTGCTTTGATGAATTTTATGTCACACCAAAACTGTGATGATCCTACAATGATTTTTTAGCTTTACTGATGTCGGAAGATCTCATGTTCCCCTTAAATGTGCACCTTTTTGGCACCAGTTGGCACCTAAGTAGAACCACCAACATTTAATAAGCTAGCTCCAGATATTTTTCTTACATGTACATAGAAAAATCTGAAGTCTACAACTGGATTTGAATTTGTTCAAAATTATCTGTGCAGAAGTTTTGGAGATGTTGTTGTAACTTATTTGAAATTCTATTTTTAACTCTCGTACCTATGTAGTTCTGCAGACTAGGTTGATTTTCATAGCTATTTTTGTAAATTTACCAAGATTGGACTATTTCTTTATCAGTTTCAGCATAATCTGACTTTAGATTATAGTAAGTGATGTAAAATGCTTTTAAAGCTTTTTCTATTCTTAGCTCTGGTGGCCATCTTGGTAATTGTTCATCAGTGCGGCATAATCTTAACTACTTTTTTGTATCAAGTACCACTAAACTTCTAAACTGGCTTTCAAGCTTGTGACAAGAAGGTTTTAACAATGAAAGTTTTTTCCCCTTTGTTTAAGTACTTAGTAATTAAGATACCTTAATACATTTACACAGATTTTTAGTCAGGCTGTCATGTTAACAGGGCCTTTCGTATACACCTGTCAGTTTGTTGCATAAATATAGTTCACAGAAATAAATTAGCTTTTTTTTATTCACTCATTAACAAAAACAAATCTGTAATAGTAAGAGTAATGAAAAATTTCACCTTTAAGCTAGTCATGTTTCTAATTTATTGTGACTGAGTGTAATATTTTTACTAAACAACAACCAAAGTAAAGGTCACATATGATTGCAATAACATCTTGTGTGGTAAAGTTTATTCATATCTGTAACAAGTTTCTTTGATGATAGTTTCGCTACTTCTAATGAGGGAACCAATATTATTTTTCAGCTACTTTCACTTTATTATATCTACAGACATGTTTATATGTGCCGTATTTCAATGACAGTTTGCTGTACACTATGAAGCCTAAACGAGTCAACCATGTTTTTCTTTTTTTCTTGACTACTAGTATCTTGCAACTAAGTATGGTGATATGCAGAAGTTCTTGAGAAAAAGATCCTTTTAATTTTTTTTTTTGGTTGAGTAGAACCACTGACAGTAAGCTTGCTGCATCATCTAAGCTTCAACACATGAAAGAATCCAAAGTCCCTGACAGGATTCAAACCAGTGGTTCAGGGCAAGTTGTTTGAAGTCAACAACCATAACCACTCGGCCACAAACTCATCCTAAGAAGATGCTAAAAGATATTCTTATCTTAATGTCCTGCTGATGGCAAATGATTCTTCCCATGTGACCAGTGCAGACCAAGATCAGCTAGGACATCAATGCAGTTTGATCATGGTCTGCACTGTTCCAGTGTAAAATATTCGGATTTGAATCCACTAGGCTGGTCGGACTACCAGATTGGACTATTCATTAGCCCAAAAGACATTTTACTTGCATGATTCTTTTGTTCATAACAGTTGTTTATAATATATTGCCTCTGAAAATACAGTAGCCTGGTCGGCCTTGTAACTGTGAAAAGTTGGTAGCCCGAGGAGAAATTAAGTAGTCGGAGGCTATCGGACTACTGCTAATTTCGAACACTGCTGTTCACTATTCAGTCAGTGCATACTTGTAAACTTTCCTAAAAAAATGAATGGTTCTGTACAGAATGAAAGATTGATGTCAGTCATTTTAAGATATTTAGTTTGGTAAGGACTAAGCTACCGAAACCTCTGTAGAGCTATAACCTCTATACAACAACAATGTCCATTCTTCCCAAAGTACATGTAAGAATTTACCATAAATTTAACCTCTCTACAGTAAACACCTCTTCAAAACCATCAAATTCTTTTGTCTCCCAAATGGTGTTGCTCTGCAGAGGTAAAATATACCAAATTTCGTCCTGAAAATACAATAATTCATACCTTGCCAGGAAAGTTTAATGGTGAAGGTGGGAGCTGTTCAAGTCTTATTGGCAATTCGTTGTTAGTTATCAGTCCTTTTTCACTATAAAACTGCTGCGCTACACGCACAAAGTCAAGCAACCTCTCTCGATGACCTTCTCCAACCAACTGATACAAAAATCGCCCTGACGGACTAACTATGACAAGTGTTGGCCAACATGCAATTTGAAGTTCTGACCATAACTTGGCAGCCTGATCGTTCACTACCGGATGATGTATACTGTAACGTAAAACTGCACTTAAAATGTTTGTTAGCACTTTCTCATTCTCGAATTTCGCTGAATGTACGCCGATCACTGAGACACCTTCTGTTACTGAAAATTTATCTTCCAAGGCCTCAAGATCAGGCAAAATATGCATACAGTTCACGCAGCAATAAGTAAAGAAGTCCAGCACAACTAGTTTGCCTTTTAGCTGATTTTTCAAGGACAAAGGCTGTGAAACATTTAGCCATTCTAATCCTGTAAGAAAAATTCAAAGTTTATAATTTATGGTTATAAATTTATAGGAAACCCAAGTCATTAAGACTTAAAACTTAAATATTGTTTGTTTCCCCTCCCAATGTTTGCCCATAAAAAACACAGCTACTCATTTGCCAAATATAATTATACTGAAAAGCAATTTTTTTTTTTTACTTATTTAAACATGAAAGGAGAGTCTGTCAATGAAAATCACATTTTTATATCTGTCTCATGCTTTTGAATTGTAAATAAACAAACTGGGATAGATGTTGAATTTTTTTTTTAAACTTTGGCTCATTAAGTATTGAAATCATACAATCTTATAAAGACAAAAAAAACGAATATTTTAACCACAAATGTACAATCATGTACCAATCTACCCTCCAGACTGAGTCCAGGGATAGGAAACAACAGATAATTTAAAATCTGGCCTAAAACTAAAAAGGTTATAAATTTACAGCAAAAATCAGTTGTTAATATAAGGTTTTAGATTACAGGAAAAATCAGTCAATAAGTCTTTAAATAATTCATAAAATTATTTTAACCTTCTGGGAAATCTGGTACTTCAAATTTTAACTTGGACTCCACCAAGTTTAAATGTTTTCTTATCTCATCCTCCTTTTTACATGTATCAGTTGAAAGTTTTTCATCCAGTTCACTGCATGCTTCCCAAATGTCATTTATATCATACATTATTTGACTGAAATTATAAAGAATAAATATGTGTTATGTTTCTTTTTTAAAGCAGCATGTCTCCATAAAAATAAAAAAAAAGTAACATTAACGGTATTAAAGAAAAAAATTAACTTTTTCCTTTTTTGATTTTAATAGGCCTGTCCAGTGACACTTGTTGTTTTGTACAAGTATGAATAATTTCCATATATAAATGACAAAGTTAAGAAAATATTTATAAGCAAAATTAAATCTTGCCATTTGACAGTCAAGGTCATTTAAAGGTCAACTAAAAATTATTCAACATGTCTATTTCATAGGTCATAAGTGTTGTTTGATCCACATGTAGCATATGAATCAAATCCATACATAAATAACAAAATTATGACATTGAACTTAAACAAAATTCAATATATTGACTTTGACAGTCAAGGTCATTTCAAGGTAAAGGTCAGTTCAACCCTTCAGAAGGTCCTGTTGAAAAGGTTGTTTCGTCAAAGTATGAAGATAATCCACTGATCACTGCAGCCAACTATCAATAAAAATTCAATAATTGAACATGAAGGTCATTATAAGGTCAAACACAATTGAGTTTGATATTCATGAAGGTTCTGACCTAAAAGATGTTGTGTCTAAATATGAAGTTAATCCCTTATATATAACAAAGTTATAGCAACAAGAAAATTCTAATAAGGTCAAGCTCTGTCTGGTAAACTTGAAGGACTATCCTCAAAGATTGTTGTGTGTAAGTTTGAAGACAACCCATTCAAAAACAACAAAGCTATAGCCACTAATACATTATGTAGCAAAAATCAGCAAATTTAGACATTTGACCTTCAAGGTCAAGGTCATTTATGAATAAAGGTCAAGTTTAGTCTAATCTTCTTGAAGGTCTTGTCCCAAGGGTTGTTGTAGCCAAGTATGAATACAATACACCATGAACTTAAAAAGTTATGATCAATGTTAAAGTTTTGGGGACAGCAAGGGCAAGGGGAATTTAATGCCCCTATGACTGTAACAATACCTATTTTTTTTTACTCCGAAAAAAAGTCAAGCTAAAAAGTTTTTTTATCTTGCAAATGTACAGTATCTGTAACAACATTAGTCTGGATGTCTCTGTCTCTAGGATTGTCAAAATATATTGATGTGCCAAAGCTAGATTATCTGAAATATGTTTTATTCTGGGTCAGAGTCTCGCTTCTAGATTTACAAATTAGCACAATATCTCAACACAGAGTACAATTAGTTGGACTATCTCTTGGAATGTTTGAAAAATATCAAAAAAAGTTAAAAGGCAGAGGGGCAACTCTTGGACTTTCTTTTGGAATGTTTAAAAAAAAGAAAAAAAGTTCAAAGTCAGAGGGGCCGCCCATGTTGTTATCTAGAGCGCAAATTCTCCAGCCTTCTCATACACACTGCTTGTAGGCACTTGTTTAAATGTTAACATGAGGTTATAATATCCTGCCACACTGATTCCCTGCAAAAATGAAGCTTTACAATGTGTTTTGCAGCGACCACACACCCACAAGTTAGAGTGTCGTCTAAATTCTAACATCGAAGTACACTATAGCTTTATGTTTAACTCAATTTATAAATGTGAATGCATTAACTCACAATAGTTCTAAACCTTTGGATCTGATACCACCTTTATACCTAGTATATTACAAGTAGAGAAACTGATAGCGAACAGCATGGATCCTGATCAGACTTTGCAAATGCGCAGGCTGGTCTGGATACATGCTGGTGACGCAAACACACTATGTTGGTTTTATCTGACGTGGCTCATTTATTTGTATTTGCAATCTAGGGCCTCGCTTTAAACATTTTGAACAATCCCTCAATATAGCCTCACTGTAGTCCAACTAATTGTACTATGCGATGAGATATTTAGCTATATTGTGTATTGGCAATATCTAGAATCTGGCTTTGGATCGTCAATATATTTTGACAAGCCTTCCCTTCAGTTTTCTCGCCGTTTTATAGCAAATTTGAATTTTCATTTTCCTTGATTGATAGCTACACCCCTGTATATATTCATCATATTAAAAAGTTCATGCATGCAAATAATCAATTGATACCTCTTTTATCCATTTACCCACAAGAACCTATATATATTGTAAATATAAAATAGACCTAATATAAATGTTATTTATGTTGTTTTACAAGTACTTCAATGAAACACTTAGCATTGTCTTTTTTTACACTTTTATGTTAATAGGAAAATGCAAATTTGACCAATGTAAAAAATAGCTTCAAATCCGCGGTATACGTCTAACTATTTAGACTAATGTTATACTAGTCCAACTAAATAGACTTGTCAAAGAGACACCGTGATAATTTTGGACGGGCGCTGTCTTTTTTCTGTAACGGTTTGACAGTAAGAAAAAAAAAGTCTGTAGAATGGGTCAAACCGTTCACGCCGAATTAATTAGGCTAATGTTATACATGCAGGGCATATTTACTTTATATTATTTGATTTAAGAGTTGATTTTCTCTTTTATATAGAACATATTAGGGACCCACATAAGGAGCAAGTGCAACACGTATACTGTAATATTATATTGATACCAACAAGAAACAATTTGTAAATTTACATAATCTGTGATAATTATTTGCAAAGTTTGTGTTGAAAATAATGAACACGTTTCCACTTTATTATAGTCATATTTCTAAATGAACTCCCAGACACGTAAAATTTTATTAAATGGAATACTAATGCAAGGAAATAAAATTCTGAAAGTGTTAGTGAAAAATCTCGGCACGAATGATCTTGTGTACGAATGATCTTGGGAGTGAAACGTTTTCATCATGAAATGTGTGGGAATGACATTATTTCTATTGTTTTCCAATTTTTTACCAAATTTGTCTAATATGTTCATGTTAAAAACTGCTTGAGAAGATACCTGGCTTTATAAATGACTTTAAATTACGTTTGTCGTATCCAATTACTCACAAATATATGTTGAACACCACTAATTGTTTTTCACTTGTCAGTTTTATAATTGGCAAATATTATATATTTCGCCGGTCTTCTCTCGGTATTTTTCGGTCTCTCCCGGTCTATTTTGACCAGCAAATACTAGAGATGGCAAATTGTATGCACAGCTTACAAGTCGGTCTCTCCCGGTTTTATTTTGGAGTACTGTAGATATCTATTTTGATTTCATCTTTGGGAAAGATATATCAATTACGAAGTAAATCCGCATTCAAGAGTGCCTCTATATTTAATGTCAGATATAATTATTGGATGAAAGAGATAGAACAAAAGACATTTTCTGACAGAGTTTATTTCAAATAGCTGTTAAATGCCATTTTTGATTAAGGTTTATATGTGAATAAGAATTTTTTGAGTGCTTCTCTACATGAGAGAATTCACGTGGTTCCGGCCAATTACTGAAAACTGTCTAAACGGACTAACACCATGGGTTATGTGAGCTTCAGGCTATTACCGACTGTATTATTGCGTGAAGAACCCCTTAAAGGGTCTATCACAGTCAGTTTTGTGAGATTTACTGTATTCCCTGATGCTACCACTTTGGGCTTAATTGCCCGTGGGTTGTGTGACTTTTACTGCATTCCATGAGGCTTTCACCGACGGTTTAATTGCGTTAAGAACCCCCTTAAATGCCAACCCCCATGGTTTGTATGAATTTCACTGTATTTCCTAGGGCTATCACCGTGGGTTATATTGCGAAAAGAACCCTCTAAAAGGCCTATCACCGTGGGTTGTGTGAGTTTTACTTTATTCCCTCGGGCTATTACCATGTGTTTTATTGCGATAAGAACTATCTTAAAAGGCCTATCACCGTGGGTTGTGTGACTTTTACTGCATTTACTGCATTCCCATCTACATTCGTGGAGATCGTTGACTTCAAACCTCTTGTCGTTCACCGCTACGGGTTCGAATCTCGACAGGGTCTTTGGATTTTTTCATGTGAGGAAACTATCCACCTATCTTACGTCGGTGGTTCTACTCAGGTGCCCGTTCGTGCCTGATACACCTGAGGTCTTCCTCTACCAGTCGCCATATGACCTATACTGCGTCGTGTGTGACGTGAAACTCAATCAACTTACGTAGACCGGTAATAGCCCGGTTTGGGCATATCTTTCTTTTTTGATGATTAATTTTTCTAACTGATTTAATTTTCGTTAATCATAACACTTTTGAATAATAGTTCTTTCGTGTTTTACTTTGATCCATTTATTGTTAGTTGCATGTGTAAAAGTGCTTACCCATCCCCACAACCCGTTTACGACCAGAAATAAACATGTCATTGCGTGCACATTGGCAAATAATTTGGAAAATTTACCCTTCAGTTTGAGTTTATTTATACTCGGCGCCGGTTAAACCATCTGTCCGAGAATATAGCATCCGTGCCGGTCCACTAGGGTAGTCACATCGGGGACGTCTTTTTCATGCTGAGTCTTTCCTGAAGTCCTATTCTTCGTTCGTTGGTGGTAGAGGAGTACGACAATACTGGCCAGGCATCATGTTCCATACTGGTCGATAACAAAAACGGCTCTCGTTAGCGCCAACCCTCCAGAGTTAGTCACGACAGGTCAACCAATCACCTCTGGTACTTAAGATGACTTGACCTTGACCTGCCGTGTGCCTTCTCCGCGACGTGCACGCCTCTGGAGGGATTTGGAGAAGTGATTGGAAAATTTACTTAAACCTTCCATATTTTAAGCAGGAGGCGATGAAAAATTGGCCTATTAATTAGTTTTTGACACATAATACAAGATGTAAGGCAAGTTTAATTTGGCACCAAAAACACACTTTTTAAAGATGAAAATTATCATTTTTGACGAGTGTTTTTGTAGTATATTTTAAAGATGAAAATTATCATTTTTGACGAGTGTTTTTGTAGTATATACAAAAGTTTTCCGACGAACTCCGTGACAGTTATCACTGGAACTCCTGACAAGTTATCATAAGAAGTCCATCCTTCGTTTAACAGTTCCTCCCCCATGATTATTGAAAATATGGAAATTGAATGAGGTGCCTCATTTTCCCCATTCACATGGGGAAAAAATTATCTTATCGTGTTTACATAAAGTTTGACGTGTGGTTCACATTTTTACTTTCAATATTTCATTTACTAAGGAGATTTGCAAAAACCGAAAAACAAGAAGTTTTGATGTATTTTTTATTTTACATCTTTCTTTTACACATAAATTAGTATACAATATATTACAACATATAGTACAGAAGCATTGACTAACGAACATTTTGTCACATAATTTAAAATATTTAATATTCATGTCAGATATAAATTTACAAGTATGTGAACAAAACAATAACTAGCATCAGTTTTATATTATGCATATCCAGGAAATATATATATACAAACTACGTGGACATTATCTAAGCAAATGAGTTACTCAGATTTGGAGTATTGTTCTGGAGGTCCCAGTTGTTTTGTTACTATTGTCCATTAAAAGATGTTTTAATCTATTTATAGTATGAACTTTCTCGTGTGTTTTGAGATTTTTCTGAAGTCTGTATGCTTTGAAACAATGGGCACATTTATAAGATCCTGAATTTGAATGTGACTTGATATGAAACAGCAATTCTGAAGGCGCGCGTGTTTTGAAATCACACATTTTGCACGAGAAAGGGAAATCAATATTGACCAGGCTATTTATATTTTCGTCACCATTTCGTGGCAGAATTGTGAATATATTCAGTCCTGTTGACCTTTGCATCGAATCGTCTGTAAGTGCAGGTGTTGCGCCGACAGTACTTTGATATTTTGATGTTAACGCTTTTAAGTGAAAGTCGTGAAATTTTGATTCTTCCAAGTGAACAAAACTATGCGCTTTCAGTGATGACAAAAAACGGAATTTTTTGTCACAATATGTACAGCTAAATGGGATTTCAGCGTCGTGGGTTTTCATATGAGCGTCAAGATAACACTTCTTGTCGTATGTACGTGCACATAATTTGCACGAGAACGTTGCGTTATTGTCGAGTAGATGGTCGGCACGTTGAAATTCCGTCATCTGAAAAGAAAAAAATATATAGAGTTATTGTTGATTGCTATAAGTTGGTTCAATTTATTGACACAAATGATGCACGTATAAAATATTGTGTGTAAGCTTCCATATTGGATTAATTTTATTGAACGGATTCATGCTCTTCGGTAATAATATTATTTCATTTAACGAGTTCAGTAAATTTAGCTATACGAATATTATTCTTTTATTACATTAAAATTATTATTTTTATTGACACTAACACTTAAGCGTGACATTACATGCTGTATAAATATAACCCATTGGACATCATGACATTTCTTTTAAGGAGACGCGAGATCTGCACGTGTATGTGATAACGTGTTTAAACATAATTCACAAAAAGTTTTCTTGGTAAACAAAAAATATATGCATCAGAAAAGGTTTCCCGATAATAATCTAAAACATTTTTTAAACGTTTACAAGCTTTGAATAGCCTATCTTTACATTCACAACAACTTTAATTAAGCCAACAAAAAGGACAGGGCTAACAATTAATGTACAATGTATAGAACATACCTTATGCGTGGGCGTTTTCTTTAGTAAATTCTTTGAAATGCCACATTTCTCTGGAGTTTCTCTGATATGCACAGCAAAATGCACATCCAACTTTGATTTATCCACAAAAGATTTACCGCATTTCTTACAATTATATGCGTTACTGATATAATCATTTCTATTTTGATGCGTGCGTTTTCCACTGTTTGGTGTTCTCGTTCCGCCATTCGGTGTTCTTATTCTGCTATTTGGTGTTCTTGTCCCACTGTGTGGTGTTCTCATTCTGTTATTTGGTGTTCTCGTCCTGCTGTTTGGTGTTCTCGTTGCGTTGCTTGGCGTTCTTGTCTTGTTTCTAGGAGTTCGTGAACGCGATCTACTTCTACTCTTGGGTGTAACCAGATTAGCTGTTTTCGGGGCATATTTTTTCCCAAACGGTGAACTGATTGTCACTGTCTGTTGAACGTCACGACTGGCTTTGTGAATATTATTTTCGTTAAGAGCGTGTATGTTTATCCTAGATTCTTGTCCGACATTGAGATGTTCAGAAGAATTTGTTTTGTCACTGTTCTTGGTGCTCTCCTCGCCTAAATTTCCGTTCAATTTAGGTAACAATTCTTTTGATTTTCTGTCTGGAATCAGCGATCTGCCGATAGGAACTGGAATACTACTTCTTCTTCTTCTTTTACAAATAGCAACGATTACATTATCAACAATTTTATCTGAATTGAATGCACTGTTAACCACTGAATGTTCAACATTGTCTGCATTTCTAGAAACAATATCATCCAATTTGAAAACACTATTACCGCCATTGTAATTTTCTTGCATGGAATCTGAATCAGTTGTTAAATTGCAGTCGTCAACTGTTCTGGTTCTACCCGTGTTATAGAATGAAACAGTGTCATCAATACCCGCATTAAGGACCTCTGCACTTAATGCGAAATAATCCGAGTGAGTTCTTGAATGATTCCTTAATCCACTCTGTAATAATAAACAAAATAAAGTCAGAACAAGAAAAACAAAGTGATGATTATTTATAATAACTGTAATTGTTCATTCAAAGACATTAGCTTAATGAGCTCTTCTTTATTATTTTTTTACTTATAAAATTTATTCTTTTTTTTCATTTTTCCTTTTTTTTTGTCATTTTATTTTTTATTTTAACAACTATTCACATTCTTAAAAAGTAAATGTGAAAAGGTAGCGCCTATTAAATAATAATTAAAATTGGGGTCGTGTTGACAAGAGATCAGATAAACTTAGAGCCCGGCTAACTTGGGGCCGGGTCGACTTGCATCGATATGTTTAAACTAATTATCAGAGGCTTATTATACCTAACAAATATAGGTCTGTTTCATTATGAAATATACTTCACAAAAGGGAAACTTGAATATAGATTTCTAAAAAAAATGTCTTACCAAAGATTTGAATTCCTATGACACATAGTACATTAAAAAAAAACTTGTATATAAATTTGAATGAAAAATAAACTTACCATAGATTTAAATGTCTTTTGACAGTGGTCGCATCTGAATTTTCTTCTTGACTGCACGTGTTGTTGATGCACGAGTTTAACGTGTTTGAACAACGCGTCACGATCTTCAAAACAGTCCATACATTGAGTGCACGTGAATTCCTCCTCTTGTGCGGAAGATATTTGTCGGCTATCCATGGTTGTATTCTCGAGCGTATAATTCTGCTCGAACTTCTTCACCGAATAAATAATTGGTGAATGTAAAATAAATAAATAGCACAGTCTCTAAATTGTTGATCCAGAAAGAAAATCCTGAAAATATAACAAAAACATTTTTATATACATGTACCACAAAATTAGGTTTTCAGTTGGTTCGTCCAATCAAATTATTTATTGTTTCTTGAAATTTTATCATCTCTGTCGGAATTTGATGGTGACATAAATTACAGTATTAATTTATACATGTATGTACATAAACAAAACATCAACGCAATAAACATGTAAATAGATGGTGTCAAAAGCTATTGATTAAATCTTGATTTTTAAAAAATATAATATTACATCTTTATTATACCAGTCCGAAAACAAGATCACTGTCATGTTGACAACAGATAAGACGGGACAATTATAACGAAGTTATGCTGATTTAAAAAAGCACTCTATAGATTTATATCAGACATAACTTTGTATTATCAAATACAAGTTTCAAGTATAATTGCATGTCATGTCGAAAGATGAAAAGCAATTACTATGTCAGTAATATAATTGACATAGTAACAACAGCTTAATCTTTTATTTAAGTCTCATCATTGTACAATGCATAAAATTTATATTTTATTTGATTTTACCAAGGTCTTTCAAAGCAGGGTATTTCCCTGTTAAAAGAGAGGCCCTGATTTCACATATTTACGTGTTTATAACTTTTCATTTAAGTCGCTTACCATTTATAATGAAAAATATCCAACTTGTTTTAAGAAATCCGTATCGATAGTTTTAGCATTAACTTTTTCAGAAAGATAAACATCGGTTGAATCAATTTTCATTAAAGTTAAAAGTTGGCTTTTGATCACTAGCTATTTCCTATTTGTGTTAAACTTGTAACATTTTCAAGAAAAGAATGCTTCCGATTCGTGCACTATATCCGCATTTAAACGTGCTAACTTGTCATAATGCAAGTTGTCATAAATTCAATGAGAGGAAGTGTTGATATTTCAAAGTTGTCTGAAATCACACTAATACACGCGCTTTATTGTATAATGTCACCACAATGTATTGGCACGTTGACACGTGACCGTGTATATTTCACCGGAAGCAATGCAACATATGTGCACTGTAGAAAGAACATTACTATGTTTAATAATAGAGCAATAAATAATAAGTATTTTCGTAACAACTGAATGTGATTCTTTTATATTTTTTTTTTATCAGCGACTTTTCATCAGATAAGCTTTTAGCGACAAATGTACTTCAAATCCGGAATTTACTTCACTACATTAATTAAAGAGTTTTAAATAACATTCAAACAAATAATTTCATCGCAGAATTTCGCGTATAAAATGAATATTTGGAATATGCTCATTTTAACATCGGCTTTACTTATAGTAATTAAAGATATAATATACATGTATATACTCCAAACATATTGATCTCTTGTTTATTAAAATTCATGCTAGTTAATGATAAAAATTATATAAATGTACATACCTCTTATTTTGTCCTATAATTTTCAACACAGAAAGTGTAATAATACTAATTTCACGCTTTAAGTTTATATATCAACAGAAGAAGGTCCACATGACAATCTATACTCATGTATTTATTATCTTTGCTATCTATTAATTCCATATGGCATTATTGGTAGTAGTCTCCCAGTAATTATCAACTAAATTATCTTGTAATTACACACCAATACAATCTATTATCACCCCGGGAGTACGTGCTAGATTATACAAGATAATTGTTACATTAATTGATAGCAGTGATTGGTGCACATCATTTTAAATAAAGAAAGTGTGAAAAATTGTTTTGGATTTTTTGTTAGTATTTATTATTTTTTTATTTATATTATCACTTATACATGTACATGTATACAATGATATTAGACGTTGCTAACGAACTTAGATTTTCAGACCCTCAAATATTTTTTTTAATATAGCTCTGTGTTTTTTAATAATAAATTTCCTTTTATTAATTTACATAATAATAATAAGAAGAAGAAGAAGAAGAAGAAGAAGAAGAAGAAGAAGAAGAAGAAGAAGAAGAATAGATAAAAAGACATAAAAAGGTATAGTCACTCTGAAAGACCCTTATTGCCCTAGAAATGTTTTTATTTCTATTTTATTTTTGGTGACATGTTATATATAGTTAATAAAATAACACTCATTGTTCAATAAACTGAACAAACATTACTTCTGTTACTTTTTGGCAATTAGTAAAGTTATGATGATTTAGTACTTTGAATGGAAGTCAAAATATTATACTTTCTTTACATTTTGCTACCTTTTATGATAAATAATTTGACATTCAGCACTATTTTCGTCAGGTGATATGTATGTAACATGTTGTAAAACAATTATTTAAACGTTTTGAAACTCGTGTTGACCCTCTCTGAAGAAGAACAAATTTATTTGTCTCTGATTTACAGTAATTTTAAATGAAAGAGATAAATAACACCATGTGCAAGAAGGGGGATAACACTACAGCACATAATACCGCAGATTTACCTTTCTTATTTCATGTCGGTAAAACTTATACTTTATTTTATGTAAAGCCATTCATATGCATTAATTAACAAGTTTATTATAATTGTCTGAATCTGAAATAACTACAGGAGATCTATAAAAGATTTAAACCAAAACATAGTAAAATATAAAACGGATAACGTTCAAATTTACCATATACATATGCATTACGACTATAATTTTTTTTAGCTAAGAAGGGGGACAACTCCACCGACCATATTACATAACTTGACCCAGCGGTTATCTCCGTTGATACATTACTATCGTGCCCGTCAAGGTATTAGATTATCCAGAGAGTTTTTGTTTTTGGATACTGCATTTTGCCTGTAGGCTATCAATCTATACTGTTTCTTAAGTTTAAAGCCAAGCATGAATGATTTCAAAGGGCAATTACACCAAAATTTTGCACAAAGAGTTATATGGCAAATGCACTCTTCTTATTGAGATGTAACGACACATTAAATTATAGGTTTCTAACAGAATTAACATCCACCAGTCAAAATATGATGGACAGACACCAGATGGATGGAAAGATGACCGAAAAGACAATGCCAAAATATATCACTCCACCTTCAGGCAGGTGCAATAATGTTGCGAAAAATTCAAAGGTAGAGCACTCTTGCATGCTCATAGAATTGCAATATTTTTCCCTGAGTTTAATTATTATGTCTTCATTTTTTTACTATACCTGAAGAAAGAACATCAAAATACTTGGTATAATTGTACACATGTCCAAATTGCTAAATGTAAAGGCAGGTCCAAAATTGTATGTGTACAATGGTCCAAATTATTACATTTACACCGGTTCAAATTTCTAAATGTACAGGCAGGTCCAAAATAATACGTAAAAAGGTGAAAAATGAAAAAGTCCATTTACTCATATTGAGCATGGCAATGGTTAAATGGAAGGAAACGTTCAGAATAAATGACCACCTTAAATAAATACCGTACAAGTCTTTCACAATAAATATCTCACAATGAAAAGAAAGGCAAAAATTCAAGTACATGTATCAGCTTTATTAAAGCAATTCCAAAATACGCTGAATATTATAAACACGTAACATTGTAAATAGCAGTAAGAATAAATCATTAACATTTGTGTACAATAATAAATAATCATAACTGCTAAACTTTTTCATGTCCAAGTAAATAAAATCTTTTTGGCTTTTTATCACGTTTGTTCATTAAGCTTTAAATTTTTTGCTCATATTTTCACTTTTCTTCAAAATTCCCTATTTGTTTATTTTCACTGTTCAAACAATTGTTTTATTTTATAAATTACGTTTGATCTACATCAATTGTGAGATCCATTTTAGTCATGTTAGTTGGTTGAGACATTCCACCACCACGGAGACCGGCCAGGAACACCTGTGGTTTGGGTACATTGGTATAATTATCCTCCTTCGTCTGGGTTGTTTGTTCCCTTAAAGTTAGAAAAACAAATACTCATTATCAATAGTGAAATATGTCAATGAGATGTAAATGATATCATACTGTTTGAGTGTTGAATTATTGTTGTTTTTTTTCTGTTTTTGCTTACAATACGATACTGAAAAATGTCTAAAATGTCCAGGATATATCAGTCATATCGTACTGTTTGGGAGTGGTATTTTTTTTAAATATGATATTAGAAAATATCAATGAGATATATCATATCATTTTGTTTTGGAGTGTAGAGTTATTGCTGTTGAATTTTTCGATCACATACTGAAAAAATTCAATGAACTTTAAGTAGACATATCAAACTGTTTAGAAGCCTGTTTAATTTTTGTTTTTTGGGTGTTTGTTTTTTTTTTCAATATGATATTGAAAAATATCAATGAGATATAAGTCATATCGTACTACTAGTATTTGAAACTGAGTGAGATATAGGATACACATGTTCCTGTTTCATACATAAAAAAATAGCAGAGAATACATTATACAAACAAGATTTTCATGGCATTATGTATATCGTCATATGGATTAGTTTTATTCCTTGTCAAGTCTGATTACTGGTTTAACGAGACGAGCCCTGTCAGTGGATAGTAACAACCCAGTGAACATACCTAATACTGGACAGAAACAAAATATAGATACATGAATAGAAAACAAAGAAAAAACCTTAAAAGGTTTATCTTTGTAAGATAAATTTGAAAGAAAAATTCCAATACTAAAAGACATTAATTTATAAATATCAAGGAGTATTCAAAGTGTCAAACTCCTTCACCATAAATAATACATGTAAGCCTTTAAACTCCTCAGAATAATTACCTCCCTTGGCAGATTGTAATGTACTCTGTTCTGATAAGGGGAGATCACTGCATAGGAGATTTGGTGAACCTTTGCCACTAGTATAAAACCAGAGCAGTCAGTCCAAGCTCTATTATAACTGTTCATAGTTTAATTTTTGTACTTTGATATTAAAATCCCTTAAACTTCAAATGGACTGTTCCAAATTCAAAGCAGGGTAAATTCATTACACCAAAATTGACAGCAGATTAAAAGTTAAATGGTAAAGTGAAAACATACTTTGGTGGCCAGACTTGTATTGCGGTATCTCGTCTCATGTTGCTGAGATTGGTCTGCATGGAATGAGTCACACGCGTTCGTAGATTGGCCTGAAATAATGTAGTCATGTAGAAAAATGATAAATGTTAGTTTATACAAAATTTTATTTAGTTTGATTTTACATGGAAGCTATAAGCATATACACACAAAAAACTGTTCTTAGAACCAACCAATATTGAGCAACAAGTGTAAGGTTTCTTGATCAAGGAAACAATGGGGTTTGAACCTACACTGCTATAAAACAACTATGAAAATAACAACAATGAAAATAACCAAATATGATTAAACATAAAGTTATCAACAATAAACAATAGGGTGGCAAACTCATGACCTTTTTTGGCACAAGTTTTGCGGCTATTGCTGGAATAGGTTAATCATACTTATTTTCAAAGTACTTAAAAGTGAAAAAGAACAGGGGAAAAAATAGATGTCACAGTCATGGTTAATGAGCAAAAAATTAATCCATGGTATGTACAGGTAAATTTTATTTGCCAAAAATTGCTAACCACACTCACAAACAGATGGACGGCTCACACATTATATGAGCCGCGCCATGACAAAACCAACATAATGGGTTTGCGATCAGCATGGATCCAGACCAGCCTGGGCATCCGCGCAGTCTGATCAGGATCCATGCTGTTCGCTTACCAACCCTATTACAAGTAGAGAAACTGATAGTGAACAGCATGGATCCTGATCAGACTGCATGGATGCCCGCTGGTCTGGATCCATGCTGGTCGCAAACCCATTATGTTGGTTTTGTCATGGCGCGGCTCATATACATACCAGGGGTTTAAAAAATTAATTCAAGTTATAACAAGAGCTGTCAGGAGGACAGCATGCTTGACTTTTCTCAGTGCTTGATAGTAAAACAAGAGCCTTGATAATGTAGAATTTTCTAAATTCAAAAATGGTCATAATTACGTCAAAATCCTAGTCAGAGTTATGGGCCTAGGACAACGACATCATATTATACTTCAAAATCAGTGTGTGAAGTATCAACCCATTGCCTTGATACCAACTTGCATGCAAAAACTAAACCAAAATGTGACACCCACACTGAAGACTGGGTGAGGACAATAGCTCTCTTTGAAGTCCTTGAAAAAAAAGCCGCACAAGAAACAAAAAAATATAGTTATATGTACCAGTTTTATTGCTTTTCGCCTTAGCTCCCACTCATTCCATTCATAGGATTTGACAATATTGGCTTCAAGTATGTGTGTGTCCGTCTGTGTGCCGCTATCATATTTTGTGACAGGCTTCTCAATCATGCGACCTTGGTCTTTACCCTACATATACACGAATAATAAATATCAACATTAGCTTTATTAAAGCATATCAATTATAATAAATCCATTATTAATCTATATTTTATCGAATACGCATGCCCCTTTTACAACTGCATGAAAATAGTAAGGCATGTAGTTATGTACATATTTTGACAATTAATGTCAATGTGTCAATAACAAATAAGCATTAGGATGAATAGTTACTACTGAGTGTCACGGTGTGTAAAAATAATGGAAACCAGGAAAGATCCTTCTGAACAACCAACCAACAATTGTTTTACATAGTAGAATTCAATCAAATGAAAATAAACAAATCAATAAATGTACGTTGGTTTTTTTTTCAGTTTAAACTGTCAATAACTGTAGCACTTGCTCTAATATGAAGGCTGTAACTTTTTCCTACGAGAAATAAAAAATGAAATACGGATTTTGTCAAATATGAAGAAAAAAATTAATCCATTTCAAAATTTTCTTGAATTTGAAATTATGAAATTTGCTATGAAATGAAATATTAACCTGAGAGTATGGTGTTATTGTGGCAAACTGGGTATGGAGCTCTAGCAGCTGTATCAACTCTGGACTTCTTTTGGCCCCCTCAGCTACTTGATGAATAAACCTACAATCATAAAATAAACGATATAGAGGACATAAAATTTTGTTTGATAACTAATGCATATAAAATTTAAATATATGTCACAGAATGAACACCAGAAACTTTCATGAGTGATAATCTGGTGTTAGCCAGTGAATTTTGATAAAAAAAAAGCAAAACATATTCTATTCTATTTCATGCTTTTTTTTAGCTATTTTAAGTGCTTTTAAGTGTGCTGCGTGACATCATGCCTTCTCATCATAATGTCATCAAATAATGAAGTCACAGTGTCCATGTTGAAAAAGAATTGTTTAAAATTTCTCAAATTTTGATATTTTTTAACATGCTGTTAGCATTTTTAATATTTATGCACTTATATACATACATACATAATTATGTACATTTTATTTACAATAAAGTGTATTTTTGACCAGAAATTATATTTTCATTAATTTACAATGCGATTTTTTTTTATCCACATTCAAATATAATTTGGCTGTAGCTGAAATTATATTTTGATGACTTCAATATGAAATACAAAAAAATGCCAAAAATATAAAAAGATTGTCACACTCAGACTCTTATTAGAAACTGAACATTTTTTATTAATTCTGAAAGAAATTTAAAGATACTTTCTTAAGTTACATGTACTTATATTAATTCAAAGTAAATCATAAATTTGAAAGCAATCATGGCAAAATGTAACATTGTTTTTTTTTACTCCACCATTCAAACTCCAAAAGGAGGTTTTTATAAGCCTAAAAACATGCAATTTTAATTTTTCACATATTAATAAAATATAACCAAAAATTTTGAAGAAATACATTGAAAATCATATGTTTGTGCTATTCTCAGTCCAATTTGAGTGAAAAGCGTTTAAACGCTTTTCAATTTTGGGTCATTTTTCACTATTATAATAATTATCCTGGAAAAACGGTGCAAGCTAATGATCTGAAATTTTGCACATAAGTTATTAGTATAGATCTACATCAAATGGAGTAATTATATCTCAAAAAATTATTTCCAGTCCCATCATGTCAAAAAACCTCAGTGGAGTCCCTTTAAGACATAATGTCACTTAAGAAACAAATTAATACATTTAGTAAAATGTGAAAATTGTATACAGATGTTTATAAACTACATTTGTAACTAAACATGTCATAACAAAGTACCTCACCCTTCTATGTTATTAGCAAATTCTACAGCAGCCTTTTTTGAAGAGAATGCATAATAATGTTCTTTATATCTCAACACACCAATCTCTGGGTTAGCTGGTAGCAATAAACGATCAAACTTTGCCAGTGCCCATGCACAAAAACCCTGAAAATATTAGAGGCATACATTTAGATACAACTTAATCATTTCTTGTCATGTAATAAAAGATTTAATATCGTTATAACAATTATATTGTAGATTCATGAATTTCATGAAAGAATCCATTCTTCCTGATTTTCAAACAACTCCACTTTTTAATATTGTAATGTAATAAAGCTAAAGTTAATAACCATCAAACAAAAACCTTGACATGAAAAAGATTAACCAATGATGATGCCACAGTGGTCATGACAATAGCTCTTAGTTGTCTTTGAAATATTCAACAAAAGTAATTGAATTTGACTTATGTTTGTAATAGCAATCAATGCAACATAATATACTAAACCATAAATTTCTTTAATTCTTGGAGCATCAACTCATTTAAAAGAACGGTAAAAAACTGTTAAATAATACATGCTCTGGAATTCATTCAACAGTAGAGCAATTTTATTGATCTCTATTGAATAATTTTTGAGCGGTTAAGTAAAAATTGAATTTAATTTCACATTCAAGTAGAAATCTTCTGCTGGTTATGTTTATAGACTTTAAGTTTGGTATTTGTACACATACTGAAGTCATTCAGAATCTTCAGTTTGTTTTGTTAGAGTTTAGGTCACACCAACAGAGTATAAAGGTCATCCAGACTGACTTCCCAGTCAGCTTCACTCATGGAGGGGGATTTTAGGATCCTCTCCTTGCTTTATTTCAGGCATGAATGGGCGCCCGAGTAGAACCATAAACCTTTAGTAAGCAAGCTTGATAACTTCCTCATATGAAAGAATCCAAACTCTCTAATGGAATTTGAACCCATAGCAAGCAGTTATGGGGCAAGTGATTTGAATTGGGTGAAACACTTGGCCATGGAGGCACTACACTTTGCAATGAATGTTGGAAAGAAGATTCTCTTCTTCAATGCGATATAATTAAGTAGGGAAAAAATAAGAAACTAGATGTACTATAATAAGGTTTACTTACTCTATACTGTAATGGTAGTTTGTTAAAATTTTTAGTTGTCTCTGGATACAGCCAGTCTAGTTCTCTAAAATCCTTGGGATTGACTCTAAACTCTGCACCTGATGTCTTAAAAAAAAAAACAGTTCATATACATGTTAATTTTGAACTCTTAGTCTGCTAGTAGCAATTGCTTCTACCAATGTGAACAGTGCAGACAAAGATCAGCTGGCACATCTGTGCCACCCATCTGATCATAGTATGTACTGTTCACTATTAAATCAGTACATATTTTGAGAATTTCCCTACATGTCATGAATAGTTTTGTCCATATTCAGATATGGACAAGTCCATTTAAGATTATATTAGCATGGTTAGGAATAAATATCAATATAATGCGATAATTATCAATATACAGAGGATACTGAATGAGTGTAGGTTAAAGTATGAGTTGAATAAAATTATATTATATGAGCCACTGGCAAGCATTATAGTATTGTTTTATTCAACGAGTTCAATAAATTTTAAGTATTGAATCTACCCGAATATATTATTCTTTTTATCACATATATAAAATATGAACAATAAACTGTTAAATAGAGTCATTTTTCATTGATGCGCCTATAGTGTAACGCTAACATTAGCACGCTTTAACGCTTATAATGTTTATATATAGCGCAAATGACGTCACATCAAAATGTTATTACACTAGTGTAATATCGTTTTTATTAAATGGCTTTATTACACTCCTGCGCCATGGTTTATGTGATTAAATGCATTCTGCAGCCAATGGCAGCCATAGATATGTTCATGTTCTCTAAAAAAAAGAGACATTACACTAAATGAAACACCATTTTATCTCAAAGTTTTAAGTTTGATTGACTTTATATCTTAAAATTTGCATTTAGTAATCTAAATGATCACTCAAACTTTACATATTGTTTTTTAAAACCATCACTTTTTTTGAAAGAAAAAAGAAAATTTACCTCCTGAATTCTTTCTTCATCAGACTTGATTGTTACACCACTGAGGAATGGAATCAGTACTTCATCATTGAACAATTCTCTATGCCCCTACGAATAACAAGTTGTTTGCATAGAAATAAGCAATAAATCGAATTACCATACTTACTCAATTAATATAAAGTTTAACTTTCTTTAAGAAATAGTTTTAATATTGTATCAAAGATAATACAAGTGCTATCGTATGCAAAATAAAATACAGATTGTCATGTCAAACAGTGAATTCCTTTAATAGACTAACTAAATATATTGATTTACGTCTGGATGTCTTAGATAGGGTCATGAGCAATAGAAAAACAATGTTTAATACAATTATTCCTTAACTAGTTTAGAATAAGAAATATAAAAGCTTTTTGACATGAACCCCCCAAAAAATGTATAAAGAATGTCTTACTCTTGTGAAAGGGTCGAGACTAGCTAGAATATTACTCAATACACTGAGAAGGACCATTTCATCCTGAAATCCACTCCATAGCTGCGACAAATGGATAAATTGTGGCTGAAATATACAACAAGATGCTCAAAATCTTTCTATCAATATGTCTTATAAACTCATAACCTGGCAACAAATATGCAAACCAGTGCAGACCAAGATCAGCCAACACATCTGTGCCATCTGATCATGGTCTGCACTTCACACTATTCAGTCAGTACACACAGTACATTTTGTATTTTAAAATTTTCTCTAAAATGATTAATGGTTTTGTTCCAACTGAAAGATGAATAAGTCTTGGAAATTGAAAATCTACCTTCTATCAGTACTCTCAGTACTTAATTGATTTAAATTATTTTCATATACAAAGTTGAAGTTGTAGCATGCCATTTTGCCTTTTTGATTTCACAATGTATGAAAAGAAGTACAACTTTTATTTGATTTGTTTTAAAACCTTACATATACTTGTGCTGTAGGGACAGCAGTTTTGGACTGGACTGTAGCTTGTAGTTGTTCCATCCTGGCAGCTAGCTGCTGCTCTAATGCCTCCACTTGCTGTGCACAACTTATCACATCATTCTGAAGTAAAAACATACATTTCTATATCATTCTGTGGTAAAATGTACATTTCTTATAATGTCATTCTGTGTTAAAATGTACATTTCTATGTCTTTTTTTAGTAAAATGTACATTTCTATGTCATTCTGTGGTAAAATGTACATTTCTATGTCATTCTGTGGTAAAATGTACATTTCTATGTCATTCTGTGGTAAAATGTACATTTCTATAACATTCTGTGGTAAAATGTACATTTCTATGTCATTCTGTGGTAAAATGTACATTTCTATATCATTCTGTAGTAAATGTACATTTCTATAACATTCTGTGGTAAAATGTACATTTCTATGTCATGTTGTGCTAAAATGACTACATTTCTATGTCATTCTGAAGTAAAATGTACATTTCTATGTCACTTTGAAGTAAAAACATACATTTATGTGTCATTCTGAAGTAAAATGTACATTTTTATCACTCTGAAACGTCTTGGAAGTACTTGCAGTAGGGGCTGAGGAGTTGTCTCCCTTTCAATATGATTGTAGTCTCTTATAATTCTGAACAGAATGATCATACTGGCAACTTTATGATTTCATGTTTGCAATGTTGTATATGTTGGTATGTATGGATAAGACTTTAATAAAAATTGTATATATACATTTCTATACACATTTATAAATAAGCTTTAAGATTCACTTAATCCTAGACCTGCTCAGACCTGAAGTGATCCGAGCTGAAAAAATGTGTAGTGTATTTTTTTATTTTACTTTTTGACAACTAGTATGAAATTTACAGAAAATTTTGATAAATACCAAAATGACTCTAAGGAAAGACTCATGTTGCCGAGAGTTTATTAAAGCCTCTTTCAACAGTTGCACAGATGGTCCTTCAGAACTGTCCGCTGTCTGCATTTTCTCAATTAGAGCTGTAAAAACAACAAAAATAACACTTTACCTTTAACTGAAACGGAAAAATATTCAGATTATAAATATACATATAAGTTATAAGGCTTTCCTGGAAGATATAGTTCAGTTATTACTGGTATTCTTTTGCAACAATGGACCAGAGGGGTTAATGTGATGAACATGTTACCTTTTCAAGGGACAAAACTTTCAGTTTCAAGGGACAAAACTTTCAGAGCTTACATAATGCAGACTGTCACAACAGATTTTTTTTAAAAGTGTGACAATTGGATGGACATTAAACCAGTCCAGTAGCAGTAGAATAGATTATCTATTGAACTGATTATCTTCCAGATAAGTCTATTTCATTATCATTTAGAAATTCTACTGCACTAATCCACCAGAATATATATAAACAAAATAACCAACAATAGGCTAAATGTAAGAATGAAAAGTCAGCATGGTTTTACTCTAACTCTTCTAAAAGTTTAAGCAATCATTGCCACAAACACACAGAAGTGGATGATGAAGTGCAGACCATGCTCAGACGTCACTTTAAGCACTTATCTTGGTCTGCATTGGTTGCATGGGTATATTTAGATGCCACTAGCAGACTAAGGTTTATATTTAAAGAATGGTTGAAAATTTACCTGTGTATTTGTTCGCAGACCTCAAAGCAGCATGGATTTCAGCATCAACATTTTGAGTGGTGGCCGGTACAGCCTCATTCAAAATAGCCGGCACTTAAATAAAACAAATACTTGTACACTTAAGATGAAGCAATTAACAGTTTCATTCTCATAAAAATTAAAATTCAGTGTGACCTTGACCTTTAAAACAGCATAACTTTTGAATGATGCTTTAAATTTTCCTTTAAGAATTTAGAAAGTGTTAAATTTATGATAAAAATATTGTCAAATCATTCACATAAATTTTGAATATGACTTTACCTTTTTTTTTATAATTTTCTTGAATTTCATTTTTTAAATTTGATTTTAATAACTAAATATTTTGGCTGTCAAATTAGTGATGCAGTGAGATATGATTAATTTTCTTTAACTTAATTCAAATATAATGCAAACTTTTTACATGTACATTAAACATAGACTATGAGTTAAATTGCAATATTATTACTCTATACAAATTTTCAATAAATAAAGAGTTATTATTGCTGTGGCATGTACTTCCTCTTGTTGAATGTAATTAAGACTGTACCTTATTGCAAGTCCTAAAATATAGCATTTTACAAGCTTAATGTATTTTTTTTATTAAAGACCACTACATGCTAATACATAAACAATTAACCCTATGAATATCGACATATAATTTTCCAGTATCATATACAAACATAAATATTTAGTATCATATATATACAGTAATAAAAATTAGTATATTTTTCACTACATATGATAATGTACCAAATGTACCATGTATAGTCTATCATATCAAAGTGAATATTTGAATTTTTTTTAATTCATGAAATAAAAACTATAAAAAAAGCTACTCACAATCATCAATTCCCTCTCCACCCTTTCCACACTCCTTGTTGAAAAGTCTTATTCCTGTTACAATCATTGTCAATTCCAAGAGTTGTCTTTCCTTGTCACGTTTTGTTAAGGACATAAAAGTGCCGAGTTCAGTTTGAGGGAAAACGCTCTGTAGGGCAGCTGTTAGAATCAAATTAATAATACATTTATTTTATATTGATCAAACCTAGAATTGTGTCCAAAGGATGTTCATATATGCAGATGTACAGAAGATCATTTCATTACAGTTTTATAATGCTGAGGGGAACAATAACTAATAACATATAAATTTTATTCTAAATTGGATATAAATCATTTTGGGGACGTCTCCGGGACAGACACCTTATTTCAGGGACTTTCTCGGATGTCTGGGACATTATGGCAATTTTATAATAAAATATGCAAAAAAACAGAACTTATATATTTAAACTTAAGCCATTATGATAATAGTCTGGTCAATTCCCCTGCTTGAAGGATTTAAGGTCTGTATGTGTATAATCTGGTATCTTGCACAACCATCCAATGAAAAAAAAACTGTTGTGTAACAATAGGGATTTCTATCAGTGAGCATAATTCTGACAAAGTTTCAAAAAGTTGACAATAGTTTTTTTTTACCATGATATACTGTAAAATCAGACGTTTTTTGCAATGAACTAAATTTCACTAATTTATAATTTCATGAATTGAAGAATTTATTTTTGCAAAAATTGTCTCTAAGTACATTGTATTATATGGATTTATCAGAAATGAAAGCAGAAATTAATGAACATTAAACCTCACCAATTAGTCTAAAATGTTGATTTTGCAAAATTTTGGTCTCACAAAAATATTTGACTTTACAGTATTAAATTAATTTACACTAGATAATGCTATGAAATAGTTCACTGTCAGTTAATGGAATCAGACTCAAGTCTTAAATCATAACAATTTACCTGTAGCTTCTCTTACAACAGCAATATCTGTGGGACTACCGAGACCTGATCGTAACAACACCGCCGATACAATCTTGCGATACAAGCTCTCTAATTCTTCACGAGTACGAGCTCGGCTGTCTGTAATCTCTCGTAGAACAGGTTGTAAACGTGACTCTAAAACGCGTCTATGCTCATCCAAGAAATCAGCTGGATAAGAAAAGCATGTGCAATAATATATTATTTATTCATGCATATACAAATCAGATATGTGTGTTTATAGAACTTAGATGACCCTGTTGTTTCACAGCTTTACTACGCTGAAATTCTTGAAAAGACTTGTCAATCTATCAATCAGGACATAAGCATTCATCATCTTTTGCGGAAAATTTCAAAATATGCTCTGATTAAATAGCAAACAGTGCAGACCGTGATCAGACACTAGCATGGATGTGTAGACTGATCTTGGTCTGCATTGGCTGCATGTGTAGAATCATAGTTGCATAATGCCAGCAGATTTTCATCTGCACAGGTCACATATGATGAATCTGTTGAAGCCAGCAGGATAGGACTTAAAAAGCTTGAAAAGTAATTTCCACATGACCGTAACAAAGTTTCTTATCAATATTTCCCTCATATCTAGCAAATAATTTTTATATTCAGTTATTGTATTTGCCGACACTTAATACCTTTTCAATAAATGTAAGGCCTAATTCAAGCTTGTTCTTGATTAAAAAACAGAACAACAACAAAAAATTTAAAAAGCCAACTCACATCTAGTTGTGTAGTTCATGTCAAAGTACACTTGCATTTTTACAGTGTCTAAAGCTGGAGATCTTGTGTCCATTAAACGGTCAACACATAACTGAAACACATACAATTTTATTTATTTTGTTTCTGTCTCGATAAATACACTATTATGCACAATATTACAGTTTAAACATATAGATAGCAGCATAAGATAATTTTCAAAAAAAGATCAAATGATTTTCTTATATTTTGATATTTTCCTTTCAGCCAAGAAGCCAAACTTTAACCCTTAACCTGCTGGGATCAAAATAAACTGGCCCTTGTTGCCAGTATAGATTATGATGAGAACCAAGCCAGTCTGCTGGTGTATATCATGCACTTTAAGTGGGCACCTGAGTAGATTCACAGATCTTCTGTAAGTTTGTTAAATGACCTTTCTCACATTAAAGAATATAAAGTTCCTGACATTATATTCAAACCCACAACACTGAAGGGTAAGTGATTTGAGATTACGGCAACCTCAACAACTTGCCCAAGGATTCTTAGAATATAATTCATTTAACTCATAATAATAGTAACAAATTTTTATACCCTGATCAACTTCTGTACATCATCTTTGGTCAGTGTTCGATCCACATTGAATTCATTAGATGGATCGAGAACAACAGCTTTCACCTACAATATATAAATGTATGAAATTCCTCAAATATATATTACTTTGCATTACTGACATGTTACAACTATTTGAAATTCAATGATTTTTGGAATGTAAATGGTATCTTACAAATACTCATGAAATTATTTAACATTTCAAAGATTTTGTTATTCAATAAATTTTAATTAAGCCATACAGATCTCTGAATAGCCCAGTAAGGTCATATTATTGATTGTTAGCCTATGATGTGCTCCAGTATAGTTTGGCCTACACTTAGAAATAATAAAATAAAAAAAAATTGACCTTCTAAGTGTACAAATAATTTTCATCAGCTGTAATTACTTTAAAGTATTTTCAGCTATTTAACACAAGGAAACAAAAACATATTAAATCAAAAACACATATGTGTTGCTTGACACAGACCATGTGTGGTCATTTAAAAAAAATACTTCATCAATTATTTTGCAAAAAATAGTGTTGTACCTTCATCTTGTTCATGTTTCGGTTAAAATTACTCAATATAACAGCTCATGTATAATATTCAAACTATGTTTATTATTTTAACACATTATTTATAATTTCTTAACAAACAAAAACATTTTTAAAAACTGACGATTGTTTCAGACACACACAAATTTTTACAGATTTTCCCAGAAATTGGTAAAATGTTGTACTATTTTACTACAACACTACTGGTTGGAGACCACCAAAACCGGACAACCACCAAACCCGGACGGCCCCGAAAATGCTTAATTAAGTATTTTCTTTGTTCAGTGGTTGTCAGACACTTTTTTATCAACGATAATGGCATTTTTCTTCTATGATTAATCAAACTAGAACTATCACTAAATGTGATTAATACCCCCACAAGACTGCTTCGGAAATGAGGATGTTACTAGTAACAGAATACCTTGTAAAAGAATTGAAATATAGAGTTATGGATGTGGGCAATTATATAGTTGTGGTTCTTGTATATTGCATTTCCTTTCAATGTGGTTGGCCATTGATGAAGTTTTATTGAATTACTCTGTAATAAGTCCAGAAAGACAAAGAAAAGGAACAAAGGGCAATAACTCTATAAATACTGAAGATGGAGTTATAGTTCTTGTGCACTGCACTTCCTCTTTTTGTGCTTGACCATTGTATGAAGTTGTTTTAAATTTCAACCAGTATGTTTTAAGTTATGCTCCAGACAAGAAAAAGTATCAAAGGGCAGTAACTCTTTATTTTGTCAAAATGGAGTTATGGCTCTTATGCACTGCACTTCCTTTTAATGTCCTTGACAACTGTATGAAGTTGTATTGAATTCCAAACAGTAGTTTTCAAGTTATGCTCTGGACAAGGAAAAGTAACAAAGGGCAATAACTCTGTAATTTGTCCAGATGGAGTTATGGTTCTTGTGCACTGCACTTCCTCTCAATGTGCTTAACCATTGTATGAAGTTATATTGAATTCCAACCATTAGTCTTCAAGTTATGCTCCGGACAAAAAAAAAGCTATGGAAAAGTAACAAAGGGCAGTAACTCTGTAATTAGTCAAGATGGAGTTATGGTTCTTGTGCACTGCACTTCCTCTCAATGTGCTTGACCATTGTATGAAGTTATAATGAATTCCAACAATTAGTCTTCAAGTTATTCTCCGGACAAAAGAAAGCAATGGAAAAGTAACAAAGGGCAATAACTCTGTAATTACTTTAGATAGAGTTATGGTTCTTATGCACTGCACTTCCCCTTACTGTGTTTGACAATTGTATGAAGTTGTTTTGAATTCCAACTAGTAATTTTCAAGTTATGCCCCGGACAAGGAAAAGTAACAAAGGGCAATAACTCTGTAATTAGTCAAGATAGAGTTATGGTTCTTGTGCACTGCACTTCCTCTCAATGTGCTTGACCATTGTATGTAGTTATATTGAATTCCAACCATTAGTCTTCAAGTTATGGTCCGGACAAAAGAAAGCAATGGAAAAGTAACAAAGGGCAATAACTCTGTAATTACTTTAGATAGAGTTATGGTTCTTGTGCACTGCACTTCCCCTTACTGTGTTTGACAATTGTATGAAGTTGTTTTGAATTCCAACAAGTAGTTTTCAAGTTATGCCCCGGACAAGGAAAAGTAACAAAGGGCAATAACTCTGTAATTAGTCAAGATAGAGTTATGGTTCTTGTGCACTGCACTTCCTCTCAATGTGCTTGACCATTGTATGTAGTTATATTGAATTCCAACCATTAGTCTTCAAGTTATGGTCCGGACAAGGAAAATGCAACGGACGTCTGGACCGACCGACCGACCGACCGCCCGACCGACCAACCGACCACCGGGTGACTCCTATATACCCCCCAAACTTCGTTTTTGGGGGTATAATAAATTTATTTCAAACTTCGTAAATGCTAATATTTAAATGTATATTTCCAGAATGTTGACATTGAAATTTGGGCATCAAGAAAGTAATGCCTGACCTCATATACCAGCTTTAATCATTTGCAGAGTAAACAATAGAATTTCCAAAACTTCAGTATTTGTTGCTGAAATATTGTATATCTTGTTAAAAATTAAAACACCCAAGCTTTTATCTGAATTAAATCACGTCATGTACATATCTGTCCAGACACATGCTACTGTAGTGTAGACAATTTAGGTAATTTTGATACCCTCCTTGTCGAGCCTCAGATATAAGTGTCAATACAATCAGAAATAAACAAACTTGTTTGTTAGTTAGGAGAAGAACCTTGCTGTACTGTGTCAAATTTTTAGGTCTCTGTGATTGAAATTATGAAATCTCTATAGAAAAATGTTCAAAAAGTGTCCGGTTGATGGTCCCCGACCAGTAAGACATACATTAAAATCATTTTGCCTGAAAACTTTATTGTTTAGGAGTATTGACTAAAATAGGTCAATTTTTAACAATATAAACAGCTTTCACATGGAAACATATCATTACTATAAAATAAATCAATAATGATGCAAAATCAATGATATTGACTATATTATGTAGAACATAATATTATTTCCTTTACCATAAATGCAACTAAAGTTTCTGACACTGCCTGTCCTTTGCTGGCACATTCTTGAGCTATTTCCCTTATTATATTCTTAATAACACTTTCTGCCTGTGCACGCGACATGTTGCTGATGATTATGTAAACTTATACAACAAAAATCACCATGCAGCCAGAATCTGAAAAGAAAATTTCAATTCAACTTTATTGATATGCTTTCACAATTATTAACAGTGATTAAGACTTCTTTTAAAACTGTTTTGTTGCTATATGGCCCTTTAGTATATACATGAAGTTGTTTAAACAAACATCTACTTACACATTGTACGGGTGTGTACATAATTATTTTATCATAATAATATCAATTTCATAAAAATATGCCATGATGAGAATTTTGTCCTGATTTTTTAGCTTTCTTAGATGTAAGATAGATAACTGAACCCTAAATACGGCAAAAATGAAAATATCTCAGACAGTTCATGTAAATTAGTTAAGTGAATTATAAAACGAAACGAAACTTACTGCTATATAATCGATTGTTTGTTACTAAAAAATCCTAAAAACGATCAGTCAACAGCCATATTGTTTACCATAGTAACAGGTGCTTGACGGTGGCGTGAGAAAAGTTCTATCGTGTCAATGAAAATTTTACGATTCGCCCCAGTAACAATTCGACCCAAATAGGTGATTAATCGCCCTTTCGGAATAAATATTTAATTATATAATACCAATCAATGATGAATGGTTTTCGCCATATTCCAAACAAGGAATTAGATCTACTTATTTATAATTTTATTTATCAGTCCCTCATTCAAATTGGAACCATGGAGCTAAATATTGTATATATATCTGCATGTGTTCAGTAAGAAAACAACGGTTTACTTGAAAAGCCGTGCTTCCTGAACCTGCACATTTATATTTCAATGTTCATCAGTTGATGATGTTAAGGCAGCAGATAAAGATCGAATTTGTAAATATCTATTTTCAGCATTGTCATTGACTTCTTATTCTATTTGAAAGACCATACTCCACCCAAAAATATAGAACCACGGAAGGTATCTTCACTACCAATTATGAAAGACCTCAGACTGCACATGAGCATACGCATACAAATCTATTTTTATCACCGATAGCCTTAACCTGGACCCAAGTGCCGGTAATATTTACCATGTTTTTAATTTACCATTGCTAAGATTTGAATGCCAACTATACATGTATATATTTGAAATTGTATGCAAGTACATGTAACATGCTGTTTTACAATGTTAACAAGTTTATTACTAACAAAACATGCCTCAGAAATGTTGAGATGTTTAAATAATGGAGCTTTATGTAATAAAAGTCTCTAGTTTGAATACATGATGAACATTTGATCGATCGATACCGAACTGATCTTCTTGCCAGTGCTTTACAATTCTTTCAAAGACCACTAACAACAATTACGGTAACTAGTAAGTAACTTTCAGGATTGAGTAGAAAGCTTAAAGATTGTAGGAATCACAATTTGAAAATCCTCTTTTGATATTCTAACAATAAATAAATTTAATATCCCGACTGATTTTGCAAAAATTCTGGCTTTCCATACGTACAGAAACTCCAACAGTTAACGCACTAGGGAGTTGTTATGATATCAAGATCAGATAACTCTTTTACAAATGGGATTACTTCCCTTTACTTGATAACATCCATACAACATAACAGGATTTTCACGATATTCTCTTTTATTAAGTTACTGTCCAACAACGGTTTTCTTTTCATTAAAATAATAACATTCTAATTAATGTGGAGACGGTTTCCCTCGTATTTAGAAGGAAAAAATCTGTTTCAGTAACGTATAAACTAAACATTAAGTAAGATTAATAAATATCTTTAACAGTCTTTTTTTCTTGAAAATATATATTATCCTGCATGGTGACCTAAAACTGTAAAGAAATACGGCATACCCCACTAGATTTATCAGGCCGTTGTTTCCTTGAGCAAGAAACTTTACATGCATTGCTTAGTACTGGGTTCCAGGAACGGATTCGATAGTGTTGAATAAGGTTATAGCTTCTTACAATCAAACTAAAATAAATTCGTATAAAAAATAAGATAAATGGTTAAGAAAATACAATTTAAAGGGGGGCGGGGTGGGAGGACCAATTCTAGTAAGCCCTTGGTTGGTAAGCAGAGCTGCATTACTGGTACTGGTACTGGTACTGCAGTACGTACTGCAGCGATTTTGCAAGTACTGGTACTGATACTGAATTACTCTTACAAAATTTTGCTACTACTGGTACTGGTACTGCATTACTGTCTTAAAAAGTGGTACTGCTACTGCATTACCCAGTACTTTTGGTTTTGAAATTAAAAATAACATCAATTTTTCTCATAAAATAAAGCTGTAAAATACATTAACTATATTTTATTTTTGTGAAAAAGTAAGTTATCAAATCTATAGATAATTTGCTGCAATATTCCTTCAAATGTTAACATAGTATTCATCATAAAAAGCACCAAAGACTTTAAGTAAAAATTAAATTAAGATAAACAGACTCAATAACTCTTTTAATTTCACTCTTTACCCTAAAATATCCTTATTAAAATCTTTTATTACTTTGTATTTATTAGTAAAAGAGCAAAATAAACACTAATTAATTTCTTCTATTCTAAAAAATCCCATTTCAAGTTAAAAAAGTGATATTGCTAGCACCATAAAAAGTTGTTATTTACTTTGGTTTAAATTGAACAGAGGTGTGAAGGTGTGAAAGGCAACAAAAGACTGTTGTGTTTTAAATGAAAGATGTTTCCATTGTATTTATACAGTTGACTGGTTACTAAACAATTAGATATGACATGAATGCCTTGTTGAATAATAAGATTTTGCATCATATGTGTTATCTCTAATGCGTTGATGTATTGTCTAAATAAGATTCCTTCGTTAAATAAAGAGATTATTATTGTTGTTGTTGTTGTTGTCGTCGTCCGTCGTCGTCGTCCATCATCGTCATCGTCGTCGTCCTTCGTCGTCGTCGTCGTCCGTCGTCGTCGTCGTTCGTCGTCGTCCTTCGTCGTCGTCCGTCGTCGTCGTCGTTCGTCGTCGTCGTCGTTCGTCGTCGTTCGTCGTCGTCGTCGTCGTCGTTCGTCTATTTATGATACAACTATGTGTATTTTATTTAATTTTACTGTATTTGCTGGGTTTTTTTTTCTTCTTAGCTGTCAGATTATCATTATTATTCTGCTCACCCTCTGATGTGATCAAAGTCGTCGTCGTCGTCGTTCGTCGTCGTCGTCGTTCGTCGTCGTCGTCGTCGTTTGTCGTCGTCGTCGTTCGTCGTCGTCATCATCATCATCATCATCATCATCATCATCATCATCATCATTATTATTATTATTATTATTATTATATTATTATTATTATTATTATTATTATTATTATTATTATTATTATCATTATCAGACATTAATTTTAAAGTCTAGTACAGAAAGGTATTTAACATAGTCATATACAACTTTGATCAGATCAAAGCTGAGCACAATAGTAATGATTATCTGACAGCTAAGAAGAAAAAAAACCCAACAAATCCAGTAAAATTAAATAAAATACACATAGTTGTATCATAAATAGAACTTACTAAACTTATAGGTGAGATCTTTAATTTGTTTGACATTACTTTAAAACAGCTAAGATCTTTAATTCTTAACATTTTGACATTATCTAAAAAACAGCTAAGATCTTTAATTAAAAAAAAAGTGATATCACTAGAAAAGCTTTTTTTACAATATTCATTGTTAAAAAAATGTACCAACGGTAAGCAAACACTTTCTGAACAAACTGCTTTAAGTGTGTCGTGAACGTACCATGTAGGTTTCAAATATATAATTAACAAACGCAAATTTTAGTTTGCCGTAGCTGTTGGCCTATTGACATTCTTCCACGCATTTATGACATATAAAACACAAGAAGGAAGTATATACTGTTACATGTCTTTATTCTGACAATTTAATTTGCATTCTTTCAAAATTACGATGACTTCAAAAGGTAAAATATAAGACTTTATGTCTAATTCATATAAGAAAGAAAACATAAAAAACACAAGAGCAACAAGGAAATATAAAAAAATCTATATTATTAATCTCAAAAGGGAAATAACAATAAGCACAACTAGGTTCTCTGTGTTTAATTTATTATTCAATTATTTCCTTTTTTTATAATCCCTTTATACATCTTTCTCCCATTTAGCAAATTGAGAGCCATCAAACAATATGTTAACAGTTTTTAGATGAGTCAAACTGTCTCAAGAAAATCAAACTTGAGGAAATGTACTTAGACTTTAGGAAAAGTTTAAAGATTCAAATAATAATTTACATGTTTGTGCGATAAATGACTGATTTTGTAGAAGTATTTATCACCATATGTCAACTGCGTAATAATGCTATTTTTGCATCATATTTTGACCTCGTTTTTAGTTTTGGTAATGTTTATGGACTCTAATACATACTTTTTTTGTTCACTTGACAAATTTTACGTTTAAATACATTTTCATTTTTTTATGAAATTTACATGGAAACATGTTGGACAAACAAAGCGTATACTTAAAGGGTAACCCTTTAAACCTGTGTTTTCAATGATACAAGTATGTTTAAAACATTTTCTATGCCAGCATACTTTATTCCTTCTCTTTTTTCAAAAAAGTTATGAATACGGTACATGTGATTGATCGCAATAAATTGCTATATTGTAATACCCCGGTTTTACGTGCAACTTTTATAAAAAGTTTCTAAAACATTAACGTCCCCGACTCACTAGACCGTAACATGTTTAAACATTCAAATATTGCAAAGATTTTTAGCTCCTTCTCATTGCACAGTACATATATTATACAATCATGCAATATTCACAGACAAAGCATTTTAATATGAATATATCCCTATATAGAAATCAAAGTAATGAACACATAATAATTATTGTTGTATTTTATCCTTTATTGTCTTTAATATTCATTAATGGGCTACCAAATATCCGCTTAACGTTGTATAAATATGTCTGATAAAAAGTCCAGTTCTGTCAATTGCGCCTGAAAAATGTCGTGGTTGTATAAACTGTTTTGAAATCGTGCATTCAATAGGGTTGTCCTCCATGGTCGTCTTCAATAAACATACTATCTGTTTTAGATGTCTTTGCAGCTTGTGATGTAAACATTGTTCTTCGTTGACAAGATCTGCCCAAACATCATGTATCATATCGTATTCTAAAATAAACTCTTGTGTCAGATGCAAAAGTTCCGCTTTGTTCTGAAAAAATAATAGAAAAACGATTAAAGTAAGGCATTTAAATTATTCAAATTGAGCAAATTAAAATGTTGTTCTCAAAGTATTCAGAAAATTCCTAGGACTGTTTTTTTAAATTTTGTTTCGCACTTGCTTGTATAAAAAAAGGTAGAATGGATCGAAGTCTTTCAGAACGCACAAAATGCAAAATTCAAAATACTGACGTCAAAGTATTCCTTTACATAGTAAAATGTGTATTTATGTACAAACATAATGTTTCATATAAATCTATATAGATTGGCTATTATATAAGATATGATTACACGTTTTATTATGTATGCATGTAAAAAAAATACGAGACAATGAATTAAGCTAAACTGTCAACATAAGCATACTGAAATTCGACATTTAAGATATCCTTTTAGGTTTCTTATATCAATAGAAACTAAGATAATTTTTCTCGTTTTTTTTTCTCTTTCTTTATTGTTATTTTGTTTATATTTGAGACAGGAGCGTGAAATGGTTGTGACAGTTTTCTTGTATGGACATGTTTTATTAAAGCAGTTTTTGTTAAAATACTCACTATGCGGTCAAAGTCTGAACTTCTCAGGTTTCTTAAGATTGGACCTACATCATGCCTTTCCTCCTAAAAGATCAGAATATGATATACATGAAGTTGTAAAATATTATACAAAATAGGCTCATTTACTTTGACTTGTTGCCTTTTTCTATGAAATATTGACCATTACCAACTTATTTTCACTATTACAAAGTTATTTATGCAAATAAGGTAAACGATAATTCTTTTTTATTATGTTTCCTTTTCCATTTCAGTAACTATATTTTATATATAATACATGCTTAATATATTAATCACATTATCTAATATATCTTAGTCAAAATACAAAACAAAAGATTTTTAAATTGTATATATATTTTATACTCGGTTGCTAAAGAAATTGTGCAAATAGTTACTTAGAAATTCTGTATACAATGTACATACAAGATCAAAATGTTATTAGTAGGAAATTTTGGTAGCAACATGTATTGACCATGCAATTGTTTTATTTGTATTGAAATTAAATAGTTATCAGAATTTTAGTGTCATGTAAATAGTGGAAGTGTGAAAAGTTAAAAGTTCTAAAGTTTTCGAGGCTGCATGGTTCTGCAGAACGTCATATAGACTTTAGTTTGAATGATGTTCCAATTAAAAAATCAAGTATCCAAAGGAAAACACGCATTAACAGGATGCACAATTCTGCAACTTTTATGTTTCATCCATTAGCTAATTATCCGTAACTTAAGTTCTGATAATTTAAATGTAAACAATCGTGTAGTCAATACATTTCTGAAAATGTTGATACAAAATATGGCATTTTGTTCTCAAATAAGTATACAAAATTTCTCTGTTACCAAGTGCCTACTTTTCTTTTGCAATTCAGTTTATCATAAAAACATAAAAAAGCAACCTTCAATACAAACAAAAAAGTCAGTTTGTTTTGAAATCGTGATTACAATTTCAAAAGCTAAATTTGAAACTAGTGTATATCTTTTATTCAAGTCACATTTTTGTTGCCGTACAAGATGTTTATAACCAATGTGAAATGTCCGGAATTAGTTCGTTCGTCCGTCTGTTTGTCCGTCCGTTAATTATTTCGTTTATAAAATTTCACAATGTGTCTAGATACACAACTTTTAAAAAATGCTACATTACGGGGAAGACAAAATGATGTAAAATAAAATTGATATTTTGTTACTATAATTGTTTTATAAACATACCAAGCAGTTTATAGACTGTTGGACGGAAACCAGCGCTTTTTCAACGCCCTCCTTCACCATTTCGTCACATTCTACACAGGTGTTGAATTCTTCTACTCTCCCAGAGTATATGCTGTTAGCGGTATTCAATCGTAGAAAATATATCACTGGAAAGAATATGATTAATATAGGTCACAAAATAAAAAAAATTCCTGTTTAATTTAGAAGCTAGTTTAAAAAACAAATTGGTTTTGATTCCGCAATGATAGTCAATATGAAAAATGTCATAAGAATGTTTAGACAAAACGTTTTTTCTTATATTTTTGAAATGTTTGAATAAAAAAATCTATTGGTCCAAACAAATTAAAAAATATTGTATTTACTAACCTATTATAGAAATTTCAATGATTTTTTCACATAAATTCATTGTTAAAATTTAAGTTGATAATAAATATCGTTTTATAAGTCTTTTTTTTTTTTTTTTTTTTTTTTAAATTTTTTTCTCTCTCTATTTTTTTCGGCACAAAATAAGTTGGTTGTTTGATACATAATTATCCGGTAAATCTCTTTTTATTCCACAAAATCTGGATTTTTACCAAGCTAAAAATTGTTTCCGATTTTTAGGAAAACCTATCGCAATACACCCGAAACGGCAGCTTAATACTTACATTCATATACATATGGTCAAAATTAAAGTTTCCAAAGTACACTAATTGTAAAAATTTGAAAAGCCAAGATGACCTGTCCCTAATACTCTACATAAACTGTTCAGGATTAAGAAGTTACATTAATCCTTTGTTGACCACTTAACTTCGATTTAAAATGCCACGAAACAGAACGCCTTTCTGATATAGGAAAATACGAAACTAAGTCCTATTTATCATACAACAATTGGAATTATCGTTTAATAATCGTTCTCATATTTTAATTATTAACCTGTTATAAATTAAATCCCCAATCGTTTGATATCACGCTAACGTGAATATCTAATCATATTAATTACAATGTTTCGTGTCAAGTCTATGTTGAATGACAATAAGAACCGCCTACCTTTGTACGAATGTATGGCTACTTTAGTTAACATTTTCAGTACTGCTCCATTCTGAAAGGTATATGACCTGTACAAAAGAGGACACGATTTGCTAATTCAATGCGAAATAGAGTTTATCATTTACTCTTAGTTTTTGTTTTATTCTAATACAAGTATTTCATCGAAACTTTGTAAGTTTCATGAAATTAGAAATGTACGTACGTAACTGTATAAGCTATGTGGTAATCTTTATACGGCTATACGATGTACAATTGTATCTTAAGAGTAAAAATAACCTCAGATTACTTATACATATCTTTTAAATTTCGTTAGAAAATGTCGTATTTTGCAGATGTTGTGTCACACTATTTAATTGTCCTTAAAGTTCGCATAATACTTCAATAGAATAAAAACAAATCGCCTTAACGTTTTCAAATCTATACATATGTTAATTAAATTTATTTGCACTTAACATGCAAAAATTTATTTCAAAAATCGCATTATTATGATATCAAATGTTATATATTTCACCATTATGTATCGAATTAAAGTTGTGTTGTTATATATTATAAAATAAAACCTTTTGTTTGCATGTCACAATGTAAGATACTAAAATATTTAGGTACATTGTATCCTAAAACAGGGACAAAACAGTTTCGTACACGCACTAACATGTATAGTATCTATATTATTAGTTATAAAGATTTTTGACCGGTTATATGCTTATATGACCCTATACATGTAAAAACGGCTATTTGTAGATATAACCAGAGCCATTAGGCGAGGGTTATATTGCAAACAATCGTTTATATGCGGCCATATTACCTGTCAGGAATATTTATAACGAATTCATTAGAGCAAAAAGTTTTATGAAAAGCGACGTTATAATGTATACAAACGTGCAGTATATAGAGGATATTGAATGAGTGCAAGTTCAATGCTGAATTTATTGCACGAGTTGAATAAAATTATATTATGCGAGCCTCTGGCGAGCATAATATTATTTTATTCAACGAGTCCAATAAATTCAGTAATGAACTCACACAAATTTAATATTCTATTTATCACATACCCATTATAATGACCGTTTAAAGTGAAAAAAAAGTCATTTTTCATTGACTGACCTACTGCATAACTCTAACATTTAGCGCGTCTTTACACAATGTTTGTAATACGCTTATTACATTCACGGCCGTGCAATCCGATTTTACGACTCGCAATACGATTTTACGGAGTCGTAAAATCGGCACGGCTGTGCGATAATATAAAATATATTTTGACGCCGCCCATATTGCACTGGAACATACGAAGTACCTCTATTTTTTCTTTACTGTATAGTTAATACTAAACGCTTGTCCAACTTGAATAGGAAGTGACATAGTTTTCAGATATGTTAAAATTAGGACATTTTTTTAACAATCCTTAAATATTTATAGATATATTATTTGTTTTATAAATCCATATGACAAAATATATCGATTTAGATAACAATCGGTGAATTGTTCGCCAAACACATCATCAGAACTTGTGCTCATCTTATTTTTTAATGTTTCCTAATGTTTGTCTTTAAAGAAAACAATACTATAACAGATCATTTAAACTATTATCAATATTCTTACATTTCTCTCTTGTAAAGACCCACTATATACCTGTTTAATACATCTATCTGCATTTTATATATGTTTTATTTTCTACAAGGAGCGAAACAAAGTTATTTAATTTTAAATGGTCAGTTAACACACCGTATTACCGGCGGCAGTGATGGCAGATCACTGCAGTGATGGCAGATAGCTGAAATTTACCGCTCGGTACAGGTAGGTTATAAATTTGGTTGGTATTATTATATTACACAAATACGGCCCATTTCATTGCTATGAAACTATTGTCCATTGACTGGAGATACTATTAGGTAATTTTGGACTCGTTTTTCCTGTTTTTAGACTATTTGAGCAGGTTAAAAAGTGACAGCTTCGGAAAAATCCGTGAAAATGTCTGTTTTTTTTGTTCAAAATATCTCAAGTTTTAACTAAATGGCAGGATTGCGTGTTATTAATATAGACGTTCATCCATTGGGGTCACGCAAGCCAAATATCTATCCCGTGAGTCTTTTCTTGAGAGTTTTACAGACGTTCAATCTGGTCCGGTCGAAGAAAAAATGCTGCCGTTGTAGGCAGATACTTATTTTAAATGCTGCCGTCGATGGCAGAAATACCATGAGAGTGGCTAACATTCTGACAGAAATCAAGGTCAATCTTTTATCAATTCCTCTATTCTTAGCGCCCTTTTAGTTGGAATTGAGACGTTAAACTATCATTTCTAATATTTTCTCAAGATTGAAAAGTTATTAATGCAGTATGTGCATCGAAAAAGATTTTTAGCAACACGCAGATACAATACAAAATGTGATGATTCAGTACGACCAAATTGCACTGTAAATAGAGCAATTAAGATGAAGAAATTCATTTTTCTATATCCATGCATGTGTGCTTGATCTGTTGTGTCTGTCAGTTACATGCATACAATACCATATGTATCTTAAAATTAGCAGCGCATAATTCACTGCATTTTCAAGACATAACGCCATTTGCATATTACAGCTGTAACTTCAGTAAGTGGATATTTATTTGCTTGCATATGGCATTATTTTCTCGAAGTATATACTTATAAATGTTCCTACCCAATTTTCAAGAAAATGTAAGTCAGAATTCTAAGAATATCATAAAGACAGGAAGACTATTTTGTTTCAATTTAATCGGAGGCAGATAAAAAATCTGTCATGATTTTCCTTGAATCTTAATAACCCTGACCCTGCTATAAGCACAAGTTAGCCATTGCCACTAGTATTGAACCAGGCCGAACCGCCCATCAACACAGTCTGAACAGGCTCTATACTGTTGGCTGACAAGCTATGAAATTTTCACTTGATACCCTAAATTTGATACTGGACAGTTCCAAAAATGGAAACTGTGTAAGTTTATTAAGAAATTCAGCAAGTTAAGCCAGAGAAGGGTTATCTTTCCTGTACTATGAACACATCTAATATTACTTTACTGTTTTTCTGTCTGCCAATGTTTTTATTACACATATATGTCTCTTCTATACCCTAACCATTGTATGAAGTTATATTGAATTCCAACCATTAGTCTTCAAGTTATGGTCCGGACAAAATAAAGCAATGGAAAAGTAACAAAGGGCAATAACTCTGTAATAAGTCAAGATGGAGTTATGGTTCTTGTGCACTGCACTTCCTCTTATTATGCTTGACAATTGTATGAAGTTGTTTTTAATTCCAACCAGTAGTTTTCAAGTTATGCTCTGGACAAGGAAAAGTAAAAAGGGCAGTAACTCTGTAATAAGTCAAGATGTAGTTATTGTTATTGTGCACTGCACTTCCTCTCAATGTGCTTGACCATTGTATGAAGTTATATTGAATTCCAACCATAAGTCTTCAAGATATGGTCCGGACAAAATAAAGCAATGGAAAAGTAACAAAGGGCAATAACTCTGTAATTACTTTAGAAAGAGTTATGGTTCTTGTGCACTGCACTTCCCCTTATTGTGCTTGTCAATTGTATAAAGTTGTTTTGAATTCCAACCAGTAGTTTTCAAGTTATGCCATGGACAAGGAAAAGTATCAAATGGCAATAACTCTGTAATTAGTCAAGATAGAGTTATGGTTCTTGTGCACTGCACTTCCTCTCAATTTGCTTGACCATTGTATGTAGTTATATTGAATTCCAACCATTAGTCTTCAAGTTATGCTCCAGACAAGGAAAATGCAACGGACCGCTGGACCGACCACCGGGTGACTCCTATATACCCCCCAAAACTTCGTTTTGGGAGTATAATAAAGAAAATAATATTCACATTGCAAACAGCACTTTCAACCCAAAATATGCTGAACTATTAGTAACGCAAAATATGGTAATAATACTGCAAAATCAGTCACAAATCACACATAACCTGGCAATTAATACTTTAGTTACTTCTTAAATTAATACTTTTACCTTAACTTTTTTTTTTTTTTTACTTTTCTTTATATCATAGTGCTTTTTTCTCAAGTTTGATTTTCTAAGTATTTTGGCTCATCTGGAGGCATGCAGCTATTAACCATTCTAAGTGTATAGAGTTATATATCTGATGCAAAAATTATGGTCTGATTTTTAAAAAAAATACTTCCAAAATGCTTGTATGAAATAAATATGGTAATTTATTGCATTAAAAATCATAGCTTAACAGATAAAACCCTACTTAAAATAGCAAAATAAGGCCGCTATTCCATTTATACGTGATCAGTGACCCGCGTCAGTGATCCGTGTCCGGGCATGTCCGTGGGTATTATTTATTCCATAGGTACGTTATTTTCTATATACTTTTAATTGAAGTATAGCGAACAGAGGATAATTATTTGTAGAATATGATATAATTTCATTCTAATACCAAAAACAGTTGTAACATCAAAGAATTAGGTAACAAACATTGAATATCAGTTAGGTTTTCAAAAAACATCTCTTTAGCAACCGATGACCAGATGTTGTTTTTTTTTAATCTGTCATTGCTGCATCATAAACTTATATGTTCTCCTACACTATTTTGGTGACTTCTT